TAACTGTACAGCACAGTGTTTCACACATCGTGTTCACAGCGTAAACACGACATGAATATGATGGAGCTGTTTGCAAAGTGGGGGAAGAGAGCGAAAACAGCGAGGGACAAAAAAGAAAGTGTCCAAAGTATGGGATTATTTCAAGCTAAAGAAATCAACTCTGTAATGTTACCGTCCCTCCAACGTAAAACGAAACTTATGTCGCCTCAGCAACAGCCCAACGGCAGCTGAACAAAAAGCCCCGGTGTTCTGCCAGCGGACCACAGACAAGGTAACAGTAACAGCAACTATAGCATTTAACTGAAATCATGACTGATTGTTGAGTTGAAGGCTAGCCAAAGTAAGCTGCAGTTCTCAGCTAAAATGTGCACAAGCAAAAGTACTTCTTAAACGGCGCATCGATGAATCATTGAAATAATCTACAGAAGCTTCAAATACTAAAATCATCGTTAGCTGCAGCCCTAGACTTGACCCAGATGACCTGAGAGGTCTGGATGGTTCATAGTGTAGCAGAAGATTCCAAATTTATATTAGCCCTAAACCATTCAGTGCTTTATAAACCAACAGCAATATTTTAAAATCTGACAAACAGAAAGCCATTCGAAAGACCTCAGAAACTGAGTTATGTGATCCACCTTTTTGGTCTTAGTGAGGACTCCAGAAAGTCTGGGAGTCCTGTAAAGACAACATTACAGTGTGATAGTAGCATGACTTTGTAATCATCTCCAGGTGGCGGTAGAAAGTCAGGTCTGTGTCCATGACTACACAAAGATTTCTTGCTTGGTTTGTGGTTTTGAACATTGCCATTTGAATCTGAGAAATGACTTTTAATCTTTCTTCCTTGGCTCCAAAAACAATTACTTCAGTTTTATCTTTGCTTAATTGAAGAAAATTCTAGCACATCAAATTGTCGATTTATTTAATGTACTTCAGCACTTGTATGGGATTATAGTCCCATGGTAAAATGGTTATGTAAATGTGTGTGTCATCTGCATAATGTTACAATAATAATATGGTAACATATTATTTTGTTTTTCTTAATTTGAGCCAGTGGGAGCATGTAGATGTTAAAACACAAGAGGCCCCAGAATGAAGCCTTGGGGAACTCCACAGGTCATTTATGTCAGCTCTGATGTGTGATTACCTATAGAAACAATGTGGTCCCTGCCCTTTAAGTAGGATTCAAACCTGTGTGATACTTGGCCAGAAAGTCCAACCCAGTTTTACAGTTGGTCTATTATGTTGTAGTCAACCATGTGAAATAATAATAATGGCCAATATATATTTCTGCCTCAAATCTACGCCGTAGGTACGCAGAAGTCTGTGCTGCAGCCTATGCATAGCCTCACGCGCACCTCCCCAAAATGTGATATATACATTGCAGCGACGCAGACCGCAAGAACTGTATTGGTCGGATTGCACCACTGCATTTCTTCCTACGCATTTCCGGCTTCTCTCATTTCCGCATTTTAGTAATTTCAATAAAAGTCAGTAATCAGCTCCAACTCAAACATGATCCATTCAGTTTCAGTCACCGTTGTTTATAGTAGCCTACACCAACAGCAGTGGCTAAACTCAAAACAGTGGTGATGAAACTCAACAAAGTGGAACACAGAAAGCCCACTGCCAACTGGCTTTTGGCAGTTTGGAACAAACACACTAGTGCTTACGACTACGCCGTGGACTCTTTGTTGCCACTGTCGGTGTTTAAACGGATGTCATTGAAGACCTTAACAAGAGCCGTCTCAGTGCTGTGGTGTGGTTGAAATCCTGACATCAGAGTTGTTTAGTGCCAAGAAGTTGTTAATCTGTTGAAAAATAGGTGTTTCAATGATTTTACTTAAAAACGGGAGGTTTTCTATGGGCCTATTATTGCTCATGATGCGTCAAGATTGTTCTTTTTTTAGACTGACTTGATGACTACAGTTTTCAGGGCCAGTAGAAAGAAACCTTACAGAAGAAATATGTTGACAGTTTGTAGAACATCTGAGGCCATGTAATATCAAGGCAGCAGGAAGAGGATTTCAGATGTTGCATAATGTCCTCTAGGTGTTTATGGTTGATAGGGTCAAATTGTGTTGTGCTATTTGAATTTAATTTAAGCAGACACAAAGATACCACATACCCTGTATCTGGTATGGAGGCACTGACAGCCTGTCTAATTTTTTTAATTTTGTCAGTTTAAAACCAAGGCAAATGCCCTGCAGGCCGTAATGCAATCAAAACAGGATGACACCTAGTGCTAAACGCAATTAGTGGAAGGTGACATTTAAGCTTTCACCAGGGGTCAGGACACATAGGGGGTGCCCTTCTGTGGCATCAACACTCAAGTTGAAAGAGAAACCGATCCTTGAAATTATCTGTCCTTTACAATAACAGCACAGCACAACTGAAGGATATTACCAAATCCTGCAACCGAGCAGCGAGTGGACAACGTTCATAGTGTTAGTTTGTTAGTCTAAAATTGTTGTTGCTCTTACATCAGCCTTTTTAGCTTGTGACCCCTTTAAACAAAGCAATGTCTAGTTGTTGTGACCCATCACAGCTTGCTTATAACAAGGCCAACCAAACCTCACGTTATTTGAATAGGACTTAATAAGTGTGGGGGTTTTTTTTTTACTTACCTAGTAATTGACACAAAAAGTGGGGAAATCAGGGTTATGTGTGAAAAATAAATATTTAGCATAGCATAGAATGTGTAGCTATTTCCTATCCTGTTAATTGTCTGTATCCAGTCAGGATGCGAACCAATGGGTTAGAGGATCATTTCTAAATTTATTCTAACTTTTACAATTGGACACTGAATTACATCCAATAAATGCCACTTGGCTTTGCAAAACACGCCTATGTGGTTGTGATGTGAATAAAACTAGTTGGCCAAGATGACAGATCAAACTCAAACCTGTTCGCAGTAACTGAGAGCCAGTTACTGCGAAGACAGGAATGCTAACCTGTTAAACATGTCTTCTGTGAATTGTAACGTTTTGCAACGTTATGTTTAACAGACATAACCACACATTAAGAGCAATATTATTGTATTATTAACAAAGGCATTAAACTGTTTCAGTGTCAGGTCACAAGTCACATCTTGGGTGACACTACACAAGGATGTTGGGTTTTGTTTTACAAGCTAAGCACAGAGCACAAGTCCTGAGGGAAATGAATGCCATAGTGGCGTCTTATCATGCTGGTTGACCTCAGTAGTTTAAAAAACATCTGCCACACCTGTCATAACATTTACCAAATGAAATATTCCCCAGGCGTCAGAATAGAAACAGAAATATTGCTTATTGTCTCTGAGATAGACAGACCTGTATGCTCTGAAGAGCTCGTCGCTCTCCCTGAATCCATTGTTGAGAAGCATATTGATTCCTTTCAGTGCCAGTTCTGCGTCGTTAATACGGGCTGTCTTTTCCTCCTCCACGCTTCCCGGTGCTGGTTCTGGCGGGTCCGCCATTGAGATACCCGATACCGGAGGTGAGGAGCTGAACGCGGACGAGAAGGAGGGAGGGGACGTAGGCACGTCTCGTTAGTTTACTTCCAAGCAGAACAGTCTCAGCCAGTGGCGCAGTTTTGGGCAAACGCAGTCATATTTATATTGTCACACGAGGAGAGAAATAAGCGAATAAGGTCAAACAACTAACCACAAAACACATTAGTGTGTATGCTACCCAGCAGTCGTATCTCTGTTCCGTATTCTGCCGCCTGACCGGTGGTTTGTGTCCCCGTGCAGACAGGAAATGTGCTGCCTTTCCGTGCTATCGGATATATTAATACGACAGTCCAAACAAAGCAATAATCATCGAGTTGAGGCTTTTAAAATTAGAAAAGCGGGAATCAATCAGTGGCAGAGCTGTTAATATGTTTTATGATGTAGTTTGATATTGTCTTTAAGGAGTATATTTTGTTATGGTTTATATTTTGTCATATTCTGTCCTACTAAATAAAAAGATATTTCATAGGATAAAGTGGCATATCGGATTTACACTAAATTTTGTGGTCTATAACTTTATATCAAAAATGTTTGACACTGTCTTATACTATAGAGGCGTCACTGTTTTTGAAAATGTGACAAAGTACCTAATTAGGTTGCAGAGTGTAACTTAAGGGGTTACAGGATTTGGTGCAGCACCTGTTTAAACGACTGTGCAACCTTCACTCATTACTTCACAAAGCCCGTAAAGGCAGCATTAAAGTGGGCGTGGTATTTTCTGCTCCACCGCTAAAGCGCCTCAAGACCAAGTTGGAAAGATATATCTGATCAAGGAGGCTCTAGCTATGGTCCAGCAGGATCCAGCAGGTGTGTAATGTTACTCCACAGGTGTAATTTTATTAATAATGAGGTCACGAGTCTAAATCTATTCCCTTCATTAAATTAAAAAAGTAGAAATAGTAGTTTAAAAATAAATTTTTAATAGTTTAAAAATAGTAAATTTGTCACATATAATAAACTGGTTCAATTATATTTTTGGAAAATACTAGCTTCCAAATGACACATGGATGCAGCATGTCTAAATGCTGGGTCAAAGCCTTCTCCACACAAGTGTACAATTCTGGTGGAGAAATGCTAAATTCTTATGTTTTATCTTAACTTTTATTTAAAAATTATTTTAGATATTAAATCTAAAATTGTCAAATTTAAAGATTATGCTTAAAAAATACAATATTCAGCTACATTTCTCCTCAGACCATTAAAAATCCCCATATTTCCAGAAACAATACTATGACTTCAGTGACGTTATTGATAGCTGCTTTGCTCTTAGTCAAATTCTAAGAATATCATAATTCCCTAAGGGCCATAAAAGGTGTGATAGCAAAGATGAAAAACCTTCTTAGATGTGTAATTACTGAACTACACTTTATCTTATCTTATCTAGTTCAAAGTGAATCACCCTACTCCCAAAATATAGGCATATGGAGATCTCTACATTATGTAGTGTATTCCAACACAGTAGATGTTAATCACAATTTCCTCTTGCCAATATTAAACATGAGATCTATTCAAAAAGAAATCTAATTATATTTGTCTAATCTAACAATCAAAAGTATACACATTTTGCTGAGTATAATTCAACAATTAATCCCAGATGAAAAAATGCATGTCTCAATACATATAATTATGTGTTTAACCATGATCACAAGTCAGAAGTTGTTTTTCAATACAGATTACAAAAGGGTTTAAAAATTAGTGGTCACTAGACAGGAATGCATGTAAAATATTGTCCAATCATCATGCATATTTTTTTCCACAAATTTACAAAGCAGGTCAGTAAACTCTTGCTGGGAAGTTGAATACATAAAATCCATTTTGTTTTTTGTTATGTTACTACTACTCAACTTTATAGTAATATGGGTTAAATGGTCCCAAACGTGACCTTATGCTTATGGTATCTATATTGGTTTTTCAACTCATAGACAATGCTCAACAAACTTCAGTACATGCTGTATTCTGGTGTGACTGACATTAACAGACACACAGAACGTCCTCATGCATGACAAAGGAATGCAAAATGAAAAATAAATTCAGAACAGTAATACAATATGGGAAAAATACATGCGATTTCGTGGGCTGTGTGATACTCCATGTCTCTTGAACCAGTTAAAATGCAGAAATCTACAAGCTGGTATGTGGATATGATTATAAAATAGCTAGGCAGCCCCTGAACTGTCACTGAATTGAGCACCATGGGTGTAAACGTAATTATTGTAGTATACACTTTAGAGTCCAACAAACACACAAGGAAAAACAATCAACCAATAATGTTGATCTCCATTACAGCACCATCACAAAAGGCATCATTTGGTTTCTTAAAGTGCTGGGTTGCTCATACTGCAGCCCTGACCAATCACAAGCATATTCAGAAGCATTTGATTGTCGACAGAAAATGAATGGACCAACACATCAGACTGTAAAACAACTGTTAGAATATGCATTTGTGAATTGGTGCCATGATACATGATTTTATCACAAAATAAATACAGAAATGTTTAACCGAGCAGCAAATATTATGAAACGGTAAGCTGCTGCCCATCTCTTAATCTATTTTTACACACACATACACACACACACACTCAAATACATAGACTCACAGGCGCACACACACTGAAACACACTCCTCATAATCTATATACATTCCTACACACAGACACATTCTCTGTCTTGGTAACAGATTGCACATGGTTGATGGTGGACATGGTCCCAAGGATTTGTTGAAAGATGATGCAGGGAGACGCGGCCGCTCAGTCTGGACACTCTCTGAGGTTGACTGGACCAAACACACCAGGCAGCCTGTCAAAAGAGACCGCGTCGCTGTTGATCCTCATGTCCTGGATGCATCCCACGAAGGACGATGTGACAGGGAGCAGCTTTTGCGTTGATATCTCTGCAGCAGAAAGGTAAATGTGGTGAACTGGTAAGAGATTACATTGTTCCAGGTTAGTTTTTACAAATGTATTTGATATTATTAGCTAACTGTATCTTAACCAACACAGGCGGATGGGGATTCAAATCCTTCTCATTTTGTAAACTCTTGCAAAGTGATCATGAAAAAATGTAAAGAAATCCTGATTTGCTCATTTATAAAATCATTTCATTTTGCACTTTACAGTATTTTATGTTTTAAGAGTCATTTATATTTATTTGTAGTTATACTTAATAGTTTGGGGCTTGCCTAAAGACTACATGATAGTTGTTTGGTACTTATCAAGGGGACCCACACAATAAACCTGCGTTATGACCTTTTCTTTGCATTATCATACCTTATTAATATGTTATATTGCTCTGATATTTTCATATTTATATTGATATGTGTGAATAAAATTAATTTAAACCAAATTTAGTAGATTAACTTTCAGAATAACAAATTAATACTCACCAGGAATGCCACCCACGTACAAGGAGTCTTTGGTCAAAGTTGTAGTGGCAGACGATGGTCCAATCTTGTAATTGTCTATTGTGTCCACGTGCAGTTGCACAACATTTTTCCTCTTGATTACTAAGAGACACATGGACAGTGACTTAATGCAAAAGACAATTAGTGTTCTAATGGGTTCTAAAAGCAGTTTTAGTTTGTCTTGAATGATGTCGTCTTTAATGAAGTGATTGTGTGCATTGTACCTGAAATTTTATGAAACATTCCATCACATAAAGAAGCTTTTGGCTTCACCGACACCATGAATTCCCCTTTTCCATTTTTCACGTGCGCCACTACCTGTAAATGGGAGCATGTCCAAACACAATGCTTTTAATCATCACGTGTACGGGGAACACACTTTATGTACAGAACTTTTTCTGTCTAGATTAAATTTGGGATATGTCCTGTTATGTTTAAGTCCCCAGAACAATCAAATGGAGTCCAACAGTAGCACACAGCATTTTATGTATAGTAAGTAAGAGATGAGGTTTTTTTAATCCAGACTCAGTTCAGCTAAGGCTTTGTTTTTCCCCAAACTAAACATTTTAGTTTTAGGGGTATCTAGCCAGACTAAAAATAACTAATGTGTGATCAGATCTCACCTCTCCTCTGAGCAAGTAGACACTGAGATGGTGGCCGGTCGCAGGCCTATATTGGCTCCTACTGGAATCACTGACATGTAGCAGGAGTCCGGTCAGACTCCGTGGACGAATATTAAACAGCAGCTCAAAGCTGGAGCCCACAACAAAGGAGTTGTCTGAAATACAGACAGCAGATACTATCATGGTTGTCATCACTGGCTTTATCTTGGATATCATAATTTAGACTGTGAAGTATGAAAAAATGAGGAGACAGCCATGAAATGAATATATCAATAAGACTCTTTCTTACGGATCTCATAGTTTCTTTAAAGAAACTGACGTGCAACTGATTTCTAGGAAGCGTCTTTGAAAGGACTGTCTAATTTGGTACTAAATATAGAGAAAATGCGAGACATTGTTCCTTAATTAATCAATTCCAATTAATATGTAGTGTGTAACTTAGGCACTGTTTATTCAGGGCAGGTAAGTTGAACATGCAAAAATATAGAATAGGACTTCCTGTGTGGTTGTACCTTACCAGCACACGGAACATTCAACAAAAATGCACAATAAATATTTCAAAATTACATTCATATTTACCTGAGTCAAATGAATCTCCTAAATGGAGTTTTCAAGAACATGTTGGGGATATTCATAACTGCTCATAACATCCCCAATTGTGCTCTCCTTTTTTTCTCACTCTCTCAAATCATTATAATTAGTATCACATTTTAATTGTACATAAAGAGATAGTCCTTTTCAGGATTGAGGGGAAAATATTAAGAAAGCGCTAAACCTGTAAAATAAGCCATTACTGAAATCACAACAATATTCCTGTGAGAAATCAATTTAAAATTCACATTCAATCACCTACATCCCTCTTCTTTGATAACTAGCACCTTTTCTGATATGTCTATACAGCTACATCTTTTTATTTCTAAGCATTTTGTGCCATTGACATGTTTATGAGGAGGAGAATTCTGTGGTTGCGGCTGCAATTCCTACCGGCAGAAGCTTATAGAGATCATTATGGTCATTAGAAATGCTTCTGTTGTATTACCAGATTGCTATCAGAGAGATATACTCACTGATAAGGACATGTGCTCCATTCCCTGAGAAATAAGCCCCTCTTTGTGTCTGTCCCTCGAAGCAGGGGCCAGCGCCATGGTTCATTGTTGGATTTGACATTGACGCTCCGTTCATTTTAAAATTGCGGATACACCCAGACACACTTTGTTTTGGAAGGGCCTTTGTCTAAAAGTTAAAAACAAAACAAAATGTAAAATATGCATATATATTTACATTACAATTTGTTAATGAATTGTTTGTGTGTGCTTACATGGATTTGTGGACCGACCCCTGAGTACGTTTCACATTACCTTCAGCTCTTTGTGGAGTGACTCTGGGGCACTGCCCAGGTACACAGGTGACACAAACTGCTGCATAGATGTCAACTCAGCATTTGTCAGCTGACCATCCTGGGCTCTGATACCATCAACGACCAGTCGAAATTTCTTCTTCTCCAAACTGAATATGACCTGCAGCCAACATATTCACTAAACACGTTAGGAATAAAAATGTATTTAGATTTGCTCTCTCATGTGAATTAAGCGATTCATGCTATCGTCTCAAAATGCATGCGATTAGGATATCAGTCCACTGACCGAGTGCCATTTTCCATCATTGTACTTTTCCCTGTTGAAGATCTCCTTCTGTTTGCCTACAGACAGTCTGATCCTGCCTTTGGATATGTATAAAGCTAGATGAGAGCGCCCTCCTCTTGTAGCAGCAAAGAACAACAGGCCCTCAGGAGCTCGAGTCCTGACATCTAGAGAAAAGTGGGGCCTTAAGGGGGATAAGGAAAGACATCATTTTTAGTGTTTGGGTGTGTTGGCTCTGAAGTAAGTGTTGCCTTGTTCTTTAATTGATAGACTCAGCCAAGCACACTTTTCATTTAGAAATAATCCACTGAAAGTTTCATGTTTGTGCATTTGCATTGTGAAATGGTTCAGCGAGGGAAAACAGGTTACTTACCTGGGCTGTAAGACCTGTAGTGGAAGGCTGTAGCTCAGACTGCTAGTAGGGCTGCCCACGCGATAAGCATGTTGAACCAGGGCTGGTAATGTACATGCTGATAGACTCTCATTTATAGCCTGCATCACACCATTCTAAAACAGCACAAACAAGAACAAAAGAGACACTCAGCATGAGGTATCACGTTGGCCCTCAAATCATTGCTTGCTCACACATCTTTGAAAAGTCTCCAAAGCGGTTCCACTCTGTCAATAAATAAAGTAGGAAGGGTAAAACAAGGTATCGTGGTAAGACAACAATCATAGTTAATGTATGTAAAATACTACTTACATAAATGTTTCACAAACTGACAGTGAAACAAAAGACCTAAGCTAAGTTTTAGCTAAGCGAAGTGTCTAGGTTTTTCCACCCACAGGTGAGAACACTGATATGTGTTGTTACATTAAATAAATGAATGCAAGGCTTCAACTAACAATAATTGTTCCATTCATCTGCCGATTATTTAATTTAATTTATTAATTAATTAATTGATTAATATTAATCGAGTAATCGTTTAGTCAATAAAACATTGAAAAACAGAGACAAATGCCCATCTAAGTTATTAATTTAAAGTGCTTGTTTTGTCCGTCCAACAGTCCAAACCCCAAATATATTCAGTTTACTATCATAGAGGACATAGAAAACCAGTAAACATTCTCAATTGCAAAGCTGGAAACTGTGAATATTTTTTTTTGAAGTTTAGCTTTTAAAATGCCTTAAACAATAAAAAAAAATTAAGATACATTTTCTGCTGCTCAACCACTCAGTTGTTCAAATAATGTTCTTATGCAGAGCAGAAATACAGTAGATGTCTCCCAAAGAGAGTTAACTATCAGCATGTAACCGTTTTGATAGCCATGTTTAATTTGGTAGTTATGATTTCATCACTCATGTAGTTAGTATTGATGATAACTGGAAGCTCGGTATGGATCTTGTAATTACAGGTACTAAATAATAAATGCGTTAGATGGTTTTGGTTACATTGAGAGTGTCATAGTAGAACAACCCCCAAAAACTTTGTATTGACTCAGAGGTGTGTTTTGACACAGGAATTTTGGGAATTTTGAACTGTGCTTGTTGTGCTGTTCAGTAAAGCATGCAGGAAATTACTTAATTTTATTTAGAATGATTTCAGTTTGGCATACACTCAGACTGACATTAAGAGGGATGAACTTGTAGTAGAGTCACAGAGATTATAAAACTGTAAATGGATTTAAAGACCTTATTAAAATGGCTCCTGTAATCCTGATATTATAGAAATAATGGATGAGGGCCGGCTTACACAAGATATTGCATAATGCAGTATGAGAACCCCATTAATCAATTTCACAGCACCTACTATATTTTGGCTTTTTGTTACTCCTTTGGTTATATTTTTCCTTTCTGATTGTTGCACTTGTATGAACTCATGCAGTAGCTGAGAGTTCATTATTCAGGCAATTTATTGTGGGTCAGAGGTTGTTGGAGAATAGATTGTGGTAGTGGTAACTCCAAATCAAAAAACATAGAGCTTAGTAAATTATAATGAGCATGCAAGGTATAGTGAGCTGAAGAAATTATATAATCATGCTTTTGAGAATGTAAAAAGATAGTGTGTCTGAACATACTAGGCCTCAACGTAATTTCATTGTGAGGCCTATTTTAGCTGTGCAATACCAACATTTCATGCTTCCACACTTCTCATTAGCTACTTAATGTATAGTTATGTAGATCAGTGTTTCTCAGCCTTAATGCTGGAATCCCTTTCGGAGTTTCAAGAGATGGAAGACTGATCAATTTAAATTTGGTTGTTAAGTCAAGTTTATTTGTGTAGCCCTGTATAATATACACACTCTCAAAGAGCTTTACTGGCCCACAACAGAAAGAGTTTCCATTTGACATGCATTTTAATTTCAAATAATTATATATTTGAAATGTATAATTTGTATCTCCCAATGTTATTAAAAGTAGAATACAAGTAAGTATGTAAGTAAAATAATATGCCATAATTACATTCACCTGAATTCTGTCAGGTAAAACAGGGTCATGGGCCAAATAATGTTGAGAAACTCAGATGCAGATCCTGCTGTGTATGTTGGATATCAACTTATAGTGAAGTTACTATCATTTTATAATCAGGCATGTTTGTGTTTGAGTGCTTCCATTTAGTGTGACAAAAGTGAGTTAGAGGGCACGTGCTTGTGAATGACTCTTAGAAATGACTGAGTTACATGAAAGAAAGAAAAGAGACATGACTTGATTTCAAGCTTGTTATTCACAAGTTTTTGTTTGTAATTACTGGACTTTTTCAAAAAATAGAATAGACAGAGATACAATACATTTAATACTTATTTTGATTATTTGGAATGTTCATGCAACTTTTTTATTTAAGTACACTGCAGATAAATGGGCGTGTGCATGAGCAGCAGAACATTGTGGTGAACACTGCCAGTTTTTCATGTCATTATATTCTTGTCAGCATCAGCAGGTCTTAGGGCTCCTCCTTCTTCATCTCTGGAAATAAGGCAGCAAAATATAATGTAAACAATGTCAACAGAGGATAAACACTGTGTGATTATTAATTCACCAGTAGTATTAAACAGTAGGTTCACAGTCCAAATTTAATAAAGTTACCAAAGAGAAAGGTGGGTATGAATTATTGCTAGTGAGTGAAATGAATCATTAACTCACCATGATTTACATGCTAGTTTTGACAGTTATACCTTCAAATAAAATGGATTGCTCTACTGGTTAAACAATAATGCCACTTAATTCAAGGAAAAGAGAACCAAGTTGATTTGCTTTGGGGGAAAAAATTCAATTATTTAATCCAAATGTCAGGCTTTTACACTTCTTTACAAAAACGATATTAGGAGGATTGCTAAAATAAGTAACTTAAGTGAATTATAGCATCTGGCAGCATGTAAGACAAACACTCACCTTCCTAGAGAAGCGGTCCAACATCAGTTCAGGAGGACTGTTAGCAGTACACATATCCAGCAAGACATCTCCAGAAGCCTGGAAGTTGCTGAAGTCCTCAGCTTTATACAGATTGTCTGGCCTGCAAACAGAAGAAATACAATATTAGCACTATAAATTAAAATAAATAGATATTTGGTGCACAAACAATTACTGTGTGACATTAATAATATAATAATAAAAGCTGTAAGTTGCATAAATCCTGAGGTATTTTAAAAGTATGTAGCTATGACATGCAAAGAGGGAGGGAGGAGAGAGTGAGGAAATATTACCGTCTTGTGTAGAGGTTGGAAACACAGCCTTTGAACTTCTCTCTTCCCAGGTAAAGGGAGCCACCCGTGTCAGGTGTGGAAGAGCTGCCACTCTGCTCCTGACCCACGTCTTCGTCATCAATAAGCAGCTTAACACTGTTCAGAAAAATCATCATGTTATTTTTTTCACAATAGCTTTAGATTCAAGCAGTAATTAAGTATTTGCCAGAGTTAGTTAATATTTGAATTATTTAAAAAAAATTATGATAATAATCGCACCAAACCACAGACTAGTTTCTTACCTTCCAGCTCTTTTGGTTACAGTCAAATAATGCCACTGGCCATCATGATATTGTTTGTTTGATTTCCAGATCTTGTTGTTGAAATTGAGAATCACATAGCCATTTTCTAATTGAACATCAATCCCATTAGCCTGGAAAACAAAATAAAAATTTTAATTCTACCTCACACAAATCCAATCTCAAAAGTCACAATTAAAGCATCAGATTTCAAAGCGAATGCAAGGACTGACCAGCTGTTTGTCCTGCAGAATGAGACCCTCATTCTCTGTGCTCTTGAATCCGACGGAGACAGTAACGTCAGCAGCCAGACTAAAGCCTTTGAGGTCAGCGGACAGGGAGCTCCCCAAGCTGAACTCTGCTTTACGAGTAACCTGGACAACAACATTGATATTATACATGAGTTAATTAGCTAACACATAAACGTGGCTTTGGGATGCAGAGAGGTTAACGTCCTACCAAGGATTCCTTTGGACAACCTTTGCTGATGCCCACTTGCTCAGTAACAGGTTTAAAGGCTTGATTCAGCTTCACATTCTTCAAACATCCTTTGAATGGTTGTATAGTGATGTTATCTCTACGAGGAAGAACAGAAAATCAAGTTATTCTCGATAAAGTGGGAAAAGGTTGACCACCAAACTCACAACACAAAATTGATAATTGATTAAATGTACCTTTCCCTCAAGTCTTGTGGGGCACCACCAATATAGAATTCTTTAAAGTCACTGTTGCTGTATGTAGCTTTTGCTGAGGCCACGTCTACTTGGGACATCCGGACTTTTATATCTCCCTTGCTCGTACTAATGATAAGGATTTCCGCCCAGTCGTCCTTCTAAAGAAAGGAGTAGCAAGATGTGGTTGAATGACTTATTTACAAATGTTATCTGGTTGAGTAATGGTACTTGTCAAGGAAGAACCAGAGTGATTGTAGAAAAAAAAAAGACTCTCACCGGGAATATTTTGCCGTTATTTGTAGCTGGTGCTTCGAGCAAATTACTACGTAGAAAAATTACACCCTTCTCCATCGTCACAGTAAAGTAATCGTTCTATGAAGAGGAAATAGATAAATAAAATGATTGTAAATTGTACATATAATTCTGCTAAATGGCATTCAAATGTAAGATTTATAAAGTAACCATATGAACAAACATTTACCTCGCTTCCGATGTAAAAGAGCAAACCGTTTTCTGAACGAGTAAAGACGGTAATAGTGACGATGAGGTTTGAAGATGGTTTATCTATAACCACTTTGCCATATCCAGTGCCTTCATAGTAGTCAGAATCCATTGGAGGTACATATCTGGATTGAGGAGAGGAAAAGTCAGAAAAAAATATTAAATAAAAATTCAGATTCTGGTTACAGAATCTCATCTTGCTCATCTTTATGTCACATCTTTGTGCAGCTCCCAAAGAGCGATGGGATGGAAATTTTTGGCCATTCATGGGGATAACATGAAAAACTGGGGTGGGGTGGAGTAGCAGTAGAGTCAGAAAATGTCATACTAGATGGTAATACAATACAACACACTACCTGTTTTGTTTTGGGGATTTTTGCTGCCGAAATAATGTCATTACAGAAAATCATAGAAGCATGTTGATAGTTTAAAAAAATAATAGGAGTTTGGTTACTTTCAACACTAATCATACTTGGACCTACCTCTTGCATGGTGTCTCCAAATTGATCTTCTCTGCCTTTTGGAAATTATATAGACTGACGACTTTGTCGTTAAAAGAGGAGAACTCAATGCAGCCCTTGTACATGGGGTATTTGAGAGAAGCTGGTGGCTGAGGAGAAGCAAAACAGAGAAAAGTATTACTAAAACTCATTCTAGTTCAAAATTATTGTAAAAAATAACTGTATTGCTATTCTTATTTCCTTGCCGCTTACAGTGAAGTTGGCAGGGTAACCTCCAACATAGAAGACTACATCACTGGGATTGAGTTCCAATAGGTTCTTGCTCTCCTCTCCTTGCTTGCTGCTCTCAATTGGGTCCTCGGGTGTGGTTGAGGTGATATCTTTGGTGAGAATCATCGTTGCATCTTGGTAAATTCTAATTTGTGAGAGGAAAAAAAATATCCATCTTTTCATCACATTTACATCATTCACATTCTTTACACATCTTGCTCTTTTCACTTTAAAATACAGACATGTATAGTAAAATGCCATAAATGTGCATTTATACTTTCTGTACAAAACAGAAAACAAGTTAATGACAACATAATTAAGCTGTCAGTTTACCTGCGCAGGTCCACTCTATCGAACTTGGCCGGCTCAGACGCAGACGTGGTGATGTAACCCGTTTTCATCTGGTATTCGACTCCATTGAGCTTGTACACGCCGTACAGCACATTCTCCCTCAGAAACATACCTATGTAGTTCTTAGAAGACTACAAGACACCGTTTGTTAATGCCTTGTGTACAGTCACAAGCTAAATCTTTATATCAAAATATTCATATGCATTTGGAGCAACTTACATCTCTGCTGCCAAGGTACAACACAAACATGTCTCCATCATCTATGGTCTGTCTGCGTCTGCGTCTTCCATCTCCCCTACCTGCAGGTCTCTGCAGCGAAAGAGACAGGGATGTGTAGGCCTTCAGATCCTCCAGATTCTTTGGTGGACGCAGCGCCACATGGCCATTACCTGTGAACTTCATCGGGATCACAATCTGGAGAAAAGACATACAAAAAGGGAAATTAGACCCATCGAGGAAAAATAGGAGACAAGTCGGTCTGATTTGGGCTTGGTTATGGATGGATTTACAGAGTGGGACCTCACCCTGTTAGCTGCGTCCCGGGCTTGTTCAATGAGCTCTTTGATCTTCTTAATGTTCTCAGATATGTTGCTAATGGGGGACAACTCCGAGGTCAGGTTCTCTACCTCTGAGATCTTATCATTCAGAGATGGGATGGTTTTCAACAAGTTCTTCACTGGAAGCATAAGGTAAGAGGGAGAAAACTAACTGTAAGTCGTAAAAAATGCAGCATCTTTAATCCTAAATGTTTAATATATAAGAACTGGTTATTCTGTACCATAAGGTACAAAAGTAGAATTTTCAAAATCTCACCTGACTGGTCCAAATCATCCAACACGCCGCTCAGGTTGGAGTTCCCAGGAGTGACACTGATCTGGTCAATTTCCTTTCTCATGGCATTCAGTTTGTCCATAGTGTCGCTTGCTGAGCCATTGGCTGCAGCTGCCTTCCTCTTGGCCTCATCAATCATATTACTTATATCATCTAATTTGGAGAAATTAACAATAAGGAGAGATGAAGAGGAAGTATGAACCCTGGCAACAGACTAAGGCACAATCAGTTAAAGAGTCATGCTGATCATATAATGTCATGACTTGTTCTACCTCTCTTGATGCCATTTAATTTGTTCTTGCATCAAGCAAGTCTTTCTGAAGAGCTTTCTTCTTCTTTTCAGCGTCCTCCAAGCGCTTCTTCACATCAGTAATGCTGTCTGTGGCGCCTGTTAAAGAAAAGCATGGATTAGTGACTGAGCTTTTGGGTCATTTTTTAAAACAACAGTTTAATAGTAGGGCTGAATACCTTGGAGGTCTTTCTGTGCCTGCATTGCATTCTGCATTAGGTCATCTCCAGTCTCTTTCAGGTCTTTTGCTCTTTGTGTCAGCTTCTGTTTTTTTACATTCTACAGGAAGAAAAAAACAACATTTGGTTAAAGTGAAACATTATTCCAAAAGTTTTGACATCATTCCAAGAACAGTGTGCAGTTACTTCACGCTTAAGGCATCAAGCCTGTGGCTTACGTTCAAGGCGTTGTCCGCTGCATCTTTGGCCTCATTAGCTGCAGCCTCGGCAGCATTAATTGCATCTGTGATGTTCTTGTAGGCATCAATAGCGTCTTTGGCACCACGCACCTCAGACAGTCCACTTGCATTCTTTACAGCACTGCAATTCAGGATAACAAGGGACACAAAACACACATCTTGAAAACAAAGCGGACTATCCTTTATTGGAAACAACAGACAATGTTCCACTTGTTAGACTTCAGGTACAATGAGATTGTGTGTCAATATTTTATGTACAAAAGACCTACTCCTCAAGTTCCCTTGCCAGCTTGTCAAGGTTCTTAGCATGTTCCTCTGCAGCCTCCACAATGTCCTTCTTGGCTGCTGCCTTGGTAATCTCATTCACCTTCGTGGTCAAGTCAGTCTTGGCACCATCCAGTTGTGCTGCCAGCTGTTCATAATCCTACAGAGGTGAATGACAGGCGATTGGGTACAAGCTATTCATAACAGCAGGAAATGCCATTTACCTCACCTCAGAGCACAGCGAGCAAAAAACACAGATCATTATCTGAGCAGACGGCATGTTAGGACCTGGCAGCTTGCTTGGGTGGTATCAGAGATGAGGCAGTTTTTTCAGCTAAAGTCTGTCTAAATGTGTTTGCTTATACTAAGAAGTGGCAAAATATAAGATATGTAAGCGTGTAGTTTTGAGTGCAGGGAACATTTGAGGAGCGCAGGGAACATTTGAGGAACATGCAGGCTACATTTTGTCAAGCATACCGTTTTACTGTCGGATAGCATTTTCACTAAATCCTCTGTTTTCTGCAGCTCATCTTCTGCCATGGCCATTTGGTCCTCAACAGTTTCCCGCTCATTTTTTAAGTCTTCAATACGTTTCTGTAGGGAGCACATGTGTCAATTTAGAGTACAACTGTCTAACAACTATGAATAGCAATACTAACATGCATGGCATTCTTTACTTTCATTTACATAATACCTTACTATAACTTTCATACAAAAATGTAATTAACACTTTTATCTTGTAAAGCATTGTATTCTACATCCCCAATCATCATTTATGTGCTGTTTTTTTAATAAAATAAATGCATAACCTTTTGTATACATATGATCCTCACTAGAATTTCTTTTCCTTACTAACCATTAACCAACAAGCCTGTGTGTGAGTTAATACCTGCAGATCTGCCAGTGCCTGTGCATTCAGTCCGTTCTGGGCGTTGGCTTTTTTCACAAAGTCCACCGCCTCCTTCAAAGCCTCGTCCAGTTCCTTCAGCTTGGCCTCGTAATCCTTCAGAAGGCCCCGAATCTTCTCTGCTGCAGCCTCATTCTGGTCACACTGCATACTTACATTAGCCTTGATGTAGTCTAGCACTAGAAAATTGAATAGAATAAGTGAATGGAAATGTTATTGACCAATCTGCAGTCTCCAATCAACATTATACAACCAGACCAATTCTTTAATCAAGCAATTCTGGAGGGGTTTGCTCCCCACACGCAAGATTCTAATGACTGACTGAAGTGTAGACTAGGTATCGTACGTTTCTCTGCATTGTCTCTTTCTTTCTCAGCAGCTGTCTTCTGAGGGGTGAAGTTCCTATTCTCCATCTCCTTCACCATGCGCTGAGCATCTTCTAGCATTTTAGCCAGGTTTTTATTGGGCACCGTATCACCTCTGGTGCCTGACTCCTTCAGTTGTTCCAGCAGAGCTTTACACACACACAAACAAAAACACACACACTCAGTGCCATTAAATATATTTTATTGGAGACTATTAAATTACCTATATATAATCTATATATGCAGATGAACCAAATATAAATTCAGAAAGAAAAAAGGAGTTTAAAAGAAATTTAAAAACAAGACATTAAGACAGAAAAGACAGAGCTGACAAAATTTTGGCTTTACCTTGGATTTTCTTGAGAAGGTTTTGAATCTCTGAGTGCAGATCTTTAGCCCTCTTGTGGGTTTTCCCAACATCTGCCACTGCTTTGTAAGCATCAGCAGCCCTCTTATCTGCCTAAATAAAAAACGCATACCAACAAATGACATTTACACACAATTTGCACAATTATTATTGCATGCTGATATTTTAAGAAATGCAAGGTCTCCAGCATACTACCTTGTCTTTGAGGGAGCTGATGTCATCTGAGAGAGTGATTGTGTCCTCTTCCAGCTGGGTGACTCTGGACCTTTGGGTGTTGATGGCGGAGTTGAATTTGTTGACAAGAATCTGCAAAAAAAGCACAGCAGCAGAAATGTAAATTAAGATGCATAAAGGCAGATGTTGTAAAGGGTGAACTGAAGCTTGAGGCTGATGGGGCCTGTTAAGATTGTACTGTGGGAATTATTCACGTGTGTCTCATGAATGCACAAAGGATGCACACTCATACAAAGTGGATGTAACACTGAGATTATGAGAGAATGAGAAATGACAAGTCAGTCGGACAAACATTGGCATCCAGTGGTGTGGTCCCTAACTCGAGTCGACACACCGGCTATGGGATAAAATTCACTGAGATTGCTTATCAGCAGGAATCTCAAATGTTTGAACAAGCACACCCATCCTGGACCATGCTGTTTGTGTGTATGTGTGAGTGTGTATGCACAGGAAGCGGTCAGCATTCATCCGGACTTGGCATCATTTCTTGACTTTTGTGTCTACAATGAATCTATTATTTTTTCAAATATCTGTGCCCTTCACCTTGTCTTCAACCCTATCTGTAGCCTTCAGAGTAAAGCTGATGATACACAGAGCAACTTTTAGAGCAATCGTGCAGGGCAACATTGTCGTCATTGGTAATGAGTAAAGATTACTACCGTAATCCCCTTCCCCCACCACTCCACCACCCGCTCTTCACCGCCGCTATCCGTTCAAAACATAGTCGGACTTGCCGCTAGCAAGATTGCCCAGCAACATTGCTCAAAAATTTGCCCCGTGTATCATCAGCTTTACAGTACACTGGCATGTTACCTTGGTGTCTGACACGGCCTTCTCCAGCTTCTTCAGCCTGTCCCGGGAGGATGCACTGGCACTGGCGTTGTCTAGCTGAGCTTTGATCCTTGCCAGCTCATTATCCAGCTTCTCCAGATCGTTTAGCAAAGTCTGGGCACAACTGTCGCACTCTGGAATACACAAGAGGACTGGATTAGCAAAGGAGCACACTCAATTTAGTCTAAACTGCATGTCACAGCATCAGACCTCAGTTGGTTTTGTTAATTCACCTTGGCAGTGCTCATCTGTGTTTGTGTCGCCCGGCTCCAGTGTGTTCTTGCAAACTGGAGGAAGAGTAAAAAAAGAACATTAAAATAAAATAGTTCACGAGGTATAGGAATTTATAAACAGTATGTAAATTGAACTACAATTTAGCAGAATTCATGCACTATCTCAAAATGCAATCTAACCTCCAGTCGTGGGATCACAGTTGTTACCATTGCCATTGCAATTACAGGGCCGACAACTTCCTCCTGATATTAGTGGATGACCATAGTAACCAGGAGCACACCTAATGGAAAGAGAAATAAGTAAGACAGAATAAGTGGCAAAATAGAAATAAGCCTACGGTATTACAAATTGCACAGTTTCTGCACAGTATTTCAACATCATTAATTGGCCTGTTAATCTTATTTGTCCATACAGTCACTCACCTCTCACACCTGTCTCCAGTGTAGCCTGCTCTGCATATACACTGGAAGTCTCCAAACACCTCTCGGCAACCTATTGCAAAACTGCAGATCGACAGAGAGATCATGATTTCATTCTCACTCAATACACATTTCAATTTAATTATAGTACAGCTGTTTAGTTTTTTTTTCTTCACCCACCTGTTTGTGAGCACGCTGAATGGGCACGGGCAAACTTTGCATGTCCTCTGAGCCGTTCCCATAGTAACCTTCTTTGCAGCGTTCACATCTGTCCCCAGCTGTGTTGTACTGACAGTTCTGAAAATGACATAATCTATTCATTAAACCGGAGGTTTTGAAAGTGTGTGTGTGTGTGTGTGTGGGGGGGGGGGTATAACATTAGTTATTACATTAATCAAAAGGACATCATATAGAACAGCCTCAGTGTGTAGAATTTTACTGCTTTTCCTACTTTCCTGTCCCTACTTAGGACAGACCTTTGTTATCTATTTGGTGTAGTCTGAAGTTGCGTTAAACACCAATTTTAGGCTCTTTTGGCTCAATTGTTCAGTGTCTATGTTATCAAATCACTCAATCATGATCCCATAGGCATCCACAAACTGAGCAAAACTAAGCAAGTAAACTAACGGGGTGTGAGGAGGCACCTATTTCCAAGCTTTGTCTTAAGGGAAGCCCACTGTCTCAGACTTGGAAAACCGCTGCTTTAAACCACTTGCAAACTAAATGTGAGGAATGAAAGTTGTGAAGAAGCATAAAACCAGACAATGTGAAAAAATCAACACTCAAGTACTAGTGTGGCCTGCAGCAAGCCTTCTACGGACATGCCGTACCAACTCAACCAGACATCATGTCTCTTTTATTACACTGAAGCAGGACATCTGGGGGCCAAGAGAAAAGACATTTCCCTGCCAATCAGTCAAAAAGTTTGTTTGATGCACTCAGCGCTGAGTTACAATTTACGCTGAAATTTGTGTCCATTTGGCTTTGAGCCGCTAGGGTGTGGATCCATGTTTACGTTGCACACACAGGCCCAGTCTTGCGTAAAGGCTCATCCTCCCATCACGGAGAGTAATGAACTAGAGGGGCTCCGTAACAGGAAATCAGGAAGCCATATCAAATAATGATTCTGGAGTGGTGATGAACACAAAGCTATTGGTCCTCAGATGATGGTCAGAGGTCTAGACTGACTAAACTGTGGCTCACACTGGAGTCAGCTGGGCTGAAGTAACCACTTTTTGTTTTTATGTGTGGGTGGATGTCTACTGTGTACCTGTAGTCATGAAGCCATTATAAAGGTTAAGGGTTGAGTGTGTTCCTTACCAGGCACCTCCCTGTCCTTTCTTCACACTCATCAGACAGACCGTTGCACTCACAGGGCACACAGCGGCCCAGGTAAGGCCCACTGCCATCTCTGTAGTAACCAGGAGCACATTTCTGTAAAAAAAATAAAAAATAAATAAAGACATGAAATTACTGCTTACAAGTATAACTCATATAACCAGGCATACCACTGTTTCAAAAGAAACTTTATGTTATTAGAACAATTATGACACTAGGAGTAGGCAATCTACTAAAATCTGCTATCATGTTATTTTTATATCACAATATTAATATATATCATGATATGAAATGAAATTATCAGTATGAAATTAGTATATTATCTGGAAATTTTATTGAAAAACATTTCATAGATTAAATAACCAGACAGGAGTGTCTGTTGGAAAATCCAGTGGGTTAAATACCAAAATGAACAAAGGTCGCTCATCACAATGATGTAAAAACTCAGTAAACAATTGGTAAAAAGCAGTCCTGTTCAATGATTTGCAACATTAACTGTAACTACAATTAATAAGAATGTTAATATCGTAAGTCTCTAACTGCTGACACATTATATCTATAATACATCATAATATTGCCCAACCTTGAATGATATCATGTAAAAAGAAAAATCACAATATTGCTGCAGTTTAGCAGACACTAAAACTGTAAACATGACATTCCTTTTATTTTATGTTTAATCTGTTTTACATAGCAGAGATTCAGACAGAGCTACTCTCCCAGATAGCACTGCTTGTTGTGTCATAGAGCAAGAGAATTTGCAGAGCACACAACAGTGAACTTGACCTGGATTAAGCGCCATTAACAATTAACAGCAATGAGCCAAAACATGCCCTTTGCTTTCAGAGATAACAGTCTCCAGCAATCCACACCTGAGACGTTGAGAAGTGTAACCTACAGCTAGGGTAAAACAACATCCCTTCAACAACAAGATACATCACGTCTTCACAGATTTTTACCTGAATCTGAGAACTGGCACTGTCATTAACAGAGGGATAGTGAACTGCCTGTCCTCTGTCATATACCGAGGGGTAGCGTACCACCTGGGTACCTTCGTCATTCACTGATGGATACTCTATCCGCTGAGTTCCCTGAGTCCATCTGTCATGATGCCTGGTGTAGCGGGGTCGCTCCCCTCTTTCGTAGGGCCTGTGGCCAGCGCAGCAAAGTCCAATCAAAGTCCAGCATAGCAGGGTCTGAAACAAACCCCCCGTACACCGCCGTCTATCCATACGCGTATCGGACATTCCTAGCGTTTAGTCTGTGTGAAATAACACTCCACTCTCCCCTGCCTCAGCCTCTTAAACACAAATACAAAGAGGACACGCCCCATCTCCTACCTGAGTCAGTCTTGCAGATGAGCATGAGTATGTGCAGGCGAACAAGCACACACATTGCAAGTGTGTACATGCATTCTCTCTCACCTTTTCTGCCTCTCTCGCACACACACACACACACACACACACACACACACACACACACATACACAGAATTGCTTGAGACATATTCAGACAGTAAAATGTGGGTGCGTGCACGAGCATGCACACACACTATTGTAAATGCAGCTGTGTTTAATTTAAGCTGCAGGGTTGTGGTGATAAAGCAAATAAAACACTCAACAGTGTCTTAATATTCTGTAATATTGTGTGTGTGTGTGTGTGTGTGTGTGTGTTTATAACGTTTGTGCAAGGGTATGTGACTGAGAGGAAAGTGAGACATCCTCAGACAACAAACTCACACCTGAATCACACTCCTCAAACACACAAGCAGACAAAACTAGGTGTGCCGGGTGTATTTAGAGACACATACACAAACTGTAGGTGCACTCAGGAGAACATACTCAGGTTTATGAGTAACAGTGTGTTGCCAAGTACCACACCCCACGTGTCAAGGCGAGGCACCTTGTCATACCGCCTCTGGGCACGTATAATCAGACGATGGCTCACGCACACACAGGTAGGGAACCACGTCTGTGGCACTCCCACAAAGACGGAAGTTTTCTTACTGTTTCTCTCCACTAATAAATGCTCCTGGTTACGTAAAAAACTCCTTTTTAGTTAGTGGTTGCTCTATTCTCATTTTTAATTTAAATTTAACTTTAACTGTTGCAACTACGTGTATACAAATCAGATTTGAGAAGCACAAACACACTCAGTCAAGTCAGCACCATTCCCAAGATAAAAGGAATTCAAGCTTTGAAAAACCCTTAGCAACCACATCATGGTTGTTTGTACTATGTTTCTGTAAGCTGTAGCCATGCCAGTGATTATAGCTGTACAATCACTAATATTATGTCTGCGTGATTGTGCATCATATCCCAGCCTGGGGCTACACAATTTGTCTGCGCAGCTCTCCGACTGGTATTTTCCAGTACATTCCACCCAAGGCTCCTCAGATGACGATTTTTTCCTCTAGGAACAAGGGTGAGGTACTTGGTCGTGGCATGTCAGGACACGCTAAAAATATGAGTCCGAGGTCCGGGTCCTCAAAAATGACAAGATGCCCTGTTACTTGTTATCTCCACTGCTTCTCAGATCTGACAAAATGATCCTGATTAGTCCAACCTGTCGCCATATTTTTCTAGTTTGTCTATACACCTATGTGGATGTACTTTTTTCAGTATGTCAATGAGGCCGGATTCCTTCCAAGTTTTTGTCCACACCCAAGACAGGATAAATTTACATGCAAAGCTTTTAATGAAGCTACACTTATTTGTTTTAAATATGAGCTTATTTTTTCATGTGTGTTGTGTTCTTAACCAAGTTTGATACAGACTATTATTTGATGATAAAAATGCACACTGGTTATAGTGAATAATCATAGAATCTTGTAACATTTATCAACACGCCTTTACACCTTCTTTTCATTCAAGTAAAAATAAAGACTAGCAGTATTGAGAGATATCTGATGGCCTTTAAACTCACCTCACAGGATTCTCCGGTGTACTGAGGGGGGCAGGAACAATCTTCCACAGTGTTTCCAGGACCACCAGTCCCTGTGCTAGTCGTCCCCTCCAGGCCCACCTCCCCTAAGCTGAGTCGCTGGGTCTGAGTAAAATACAAGGCTCGGATCCTCAAGCCAACCAAACTGGCTAGGACCATCATTAGTTCCTCTCTGGAGACAGGCCTGTTTGTGACAGCATGGCGCCAGTTTCCCTGCAGACAACATATCGGTTATTTTGTGACTAATAAGAAATCTTTACAGGCCATATTCAAAAGTCATATTTCATTAGATTTGATATGATCTAAAACAAGAGATGTACATAACACTTAGATGCAGGACAAGACTTGGTAGGAATATTTATGGTTCTCTGAGGCTGAATCCTAATGGTCATGGTGACCTGACCTCTCCTCTAGCATCATAATCAGGATAACAATTCACTTATAGCTGCTGTTATCAGCTGGTTCTGAACCAGCAGCTCAGAGCTTCAGTACGAATATTAGAGGTGTAAACACCAACACACTGCCGGAGCACCAACATTCATTGGGCAAGGCAAGTTTATTTGTATAGCACATTTCAACAACAAGGTAATTCAAAGTGCTTGGGGCAGAATCAGCAATAGGATGGCTAGCTGCACGACTAACTGAGTATCTAGCAGCAGCTGCTGATAGCAGCAGTTAGCAGCTAAATTAAGTGGTAAATCACCAAAGTGGGGGCTTAGCAGCCGGAGTACATCAGAGGCAAAACCAGACATTATTTTCTCAATCAAATCTGATCCAGTGTTTCACACCCTTTTCATCAAAACCACTGAATAAAGTTGTAAAGTTGTGTAGCAGTAATCAGTGAGGCCTAGTCTCTCATAGCAGGCCTTGATTATGCACTGTGCAGCTAGACCCCACCCCTCTGCTGTGCTCTGGGAAGTTGGCCAATCAGAAGGAAGTGTGCTTTCAGGGAGGGGCTTCAGAGACAGAAGCTAAAACGCAGTGTTCCGACAGAGGGTGAAAACAGGTGCTGAAGCAGTGTGCAAGTATGAACCTGAAAATTAGTATTCTATGGCACCTTTAAAAACACATTTACACACCCCAGAAGATTAACTGCTTTTAGAAATTCAAAGAATTTTGGATGACATCATAACTTCCAACACTTTCACATCATGGGTTTACTTTGAAATCACAACCTGGTGGTGCTATCGAATCTGGTCAGTTAGAAGAACTGGTGTGTACTTTACCTCCAAGAGCTGGACTCTGCCCTGATACAGCCTGTCTGGAAATGGGACTTGTGAAGCCATGTGGATCAGGGTCATATTCCGACCCTAGGAGGAAATAATGAGATGGATAAATAAGCTGTTTAAAAAAGTGAAAGGTCTAAGAGCGAAGAAAGAAGTTGTACTACGCACATTCAGCACAACATCAGGTGTTCTGTCCATGAGAGTCATCCCCTCACTGGGAATACCAAAGGATTTGGACTGGTAGGTGAGGAAACCACCATAAGATGAAACCTAAGAGAAAGAGATATCCCAAATATCTGTCAGCTTCTCTTAAAGGACTGCAGAGACCACTGGAATACAGAAATTATCTTAAAGAAGAATGTGGGTCTAGGAAGTAATAGATGAGGTCATGATTTCTATCAGTTATGATAGCAATTCAGCTAGCAATCTAATTACTGAGATTTTAGGGATACTGTGACATTTCTAAAATTGAGTTATAAGTTAAGTGAAAGTGAAAGAAGATAGAGCAAAAAAAGTATAAAACAGTTCAACTGAATTATCGGAATTTGAAAGTGAAAACACACCTGAAAGGTGTGACAGGAAGTTGAAGTGAAATGTCCATTACAATCTACAACTGCACTGAAAAACTGGGCCCACATGCCACAATGGTAAGTGAAGTAGGAAGTCAAAACTGAGAGAAAGTTGCTAGAATTTTAACTTTAATATTATTTTTACGTTTCCAGATGAGTGAGCTATTAAAGCTATTAAAATTAGAATATTCTTTCAATATTGCCTTTTATTTTGGCTTGATTCAATAAAATAACTATAAAATTGAAATATTGTATCTGTTTTTATGTCCAAGACTCACCCTGTCTCCCAGGTACGACCATGGTGCCACCCAGTGTAGAGTTTGAACTGTAGGAGGAAGCTCCTGGATGTCTGCCACCACCGTGTTACTGGCAGTGTTCAGCACAGAGGGAACATGCTCCTGGTCGGGGCTTTCCAAACGCCAGACCCGCATCTCAACAAACTAATAACAGAAGTATTTGGAGGTTAAAGAAAAAATCCATCCTAAAACTGTACTGTATTCACATTTGAAGTGACTGACTCTATGGGCTTATAATGTACATATATACACACATAATATTACAAACAAATTAGTTTTACTTGAAAACAGAGGTTACTGAATCAAAGGATATACCCAGATCCTTTGTTTTCCTGAACATCATGTTCAGCTTTAATCAAACAGAGGACGTTGTTCAGCCATCCCACAGTCTCATATGAAAACAAAGAGTGACCGTGCCTTTTCAGTGGTGGCCCCGAGAATAATCTACCCCTGATTATTAGATCATCCCCCACCATCCACACTTTTAAGTCTCGACTTAAAACACATTTTTATTCTTTGGCGTTTGAGTCTGTTTAGGGGCACCTGTGCTTGTGTCTTTATTTATCTATTTTGTATCTAACTGCGTTGTTTTGCTGTATGCCATTAATTGTCTGGCCTGTTTTATTTTCTCTGTTTTTTTTTAATTATTACGTCTTTTTCTGCATAACTTGTCCAGCACTTTGGTCAACTCTGGCTGTTTTTAAATGTGCTTTATAAATAAACTTGACTTGACTTGACTAGACCACATAACTGCTATCAGCCAGAAAGCTTTGCAGGCATAACTTTTTCAAAAGGCATTCATAGACATGCAGGGGCACAAAAAACAAACACACCTTCCCCCTGCGTTTGCTGGAGCTCTGACACTGGTCAGTCGCTCCGAAGCAGAAGCAGCTGGTACAGCCGTGAGGGCTGGATGGGTCAAAATAGAAGGAACCTTCCCGACAGGTATCACACTTGATGCCAGCAACATTTCTCTACAAACACGCAAGCAACAACAGAGAGAAAGTCAGAGCAAGGAAATACAAAAAAAAAAAATGAATAAGAGAAAGTTTTTAAAATCTGCAATTTGATGAAATTATCTCACCTTGCAGAGACACCTCCCTGTGTCTGGGTGGCACACGCCAGGTGTGACACCACCTTGGTTACAGTCACAAGGTATACAGTCAGGGAAGCGATAATAACCTGCAGCACAGCGGTCACACTGCCGGCCCCCAATCCTAGGCTTACAACTACATAAAAATTAACAGACACATTATCTTTAGTAATAGTATTGATGCGTCATATGTGGTTCATACATTTATAAAGTCAGATATTAGAAAAAGGAAGGAACAAACTACATTCATGCATACAACTGAAATTAATATATTTTTGTAAATAAGGAAATACAGTATAATCATATTTTATGCATTACTGTACAGCAGTGGTTCTCAAACTTTTTCGCATCAAGAACCCCTAAACTGACACAAATTAGACCACGGACACCTATATGATAAGATTTTTTCATCTGATAGGGTTTTTGCTTTTATTTATTTTATTAAAGAAAGTTTATGAAACCAATGACCAAAGCAGTCATACATCCGGTCATTGCGTTAGTTATGGATGGAATGATATTGAAAATAAATTATTCCTCTTTTTGCTGGGGACTTCTGGAACCTTCTCAAGGACCCCTGGGGATCCCCAGACCCCACTTTGAGAACCACTGCTGTACAGTATGAAGCTTTATGCTGCTGTTCGTACATGCATCGTTTTAACAGAGATAACAACTGAGTGGGGAAGCTGATTTTGAGACTGTAAAATTGCACGACAGAAAAGACAACCTACAGTGGGTACGGAAAGTATTCAGACCCCTTTAAATTTTTCACTCTTTGTTTCATTGCAGCCATTTTCCAAAAATCAAAAAAGTTCATTTTATTTCTCAGTAATGTACACTCAGCACCCCATCTTGACAGAAAAAAACAGAAATGTAGAAATTTTTGCAAATTTATTAAAAAGAAAACTGAAATATCACATGGTCATAAGTATTCAGACCCTTTGCCGTGACACTCATATTTAACTCAGGTGCTGTCTATTTCTTCTGATCATCCTTGAGATGGTTCTACGCCTTCATTTGAGTCCAGCTGTGTTTGATTATACTGATTGGACTTGATTAGGAAAGCCACACACCTGTCTATATAAGACCTTACAGCTCACAGTGCATGTCAGAGCAAATGAGAATCATGAGGTCAAAGGAACTGCCTGAAGAGCTCAGAGACAGAATTGTGGCAAGGCACAGATCTGGCCAAGATTACAAAAAAATTTCTGCTGCACTTAAGGTTCCTAAGAGCACAGTGGCCTCCATAATCCTCATATGGAAGACGTTTGGGACGACCAGAACCCTTCCTAGAGCTGGCCGTCCGGCCAAACTGAGCTATCGGGGGAGAAGAGCCTTGGTGAGAGAGCTAAAGAAGAACCCAAAGGTCACTGTGGCTGAGCTCCAGAGATGCAGTCGGGAGATGGGAGAAAGTTGTAGTAAGTCAACCATCACTGCAGCAATCCACCAGTCGGGCTTTATGGCAGAGTGGCCCGACGGAAGACTCTCCTCAGTGCAAGACACATGAAAGCCCGCATGGAGTTTGCTAAAAAACACCTGAAGGACTCCAAGATGGTGATAAATAAGATCCTCTGGTCTGATGAGACCAAGATAGAACTTTTTGGCCTTAATTCTAAGCGGTATGTGTGGAGAAAACCAGGCACTGCTCATCACCTGTCCAATACAGTCTCTACAGTGAAGCATGGTGGTGGCAGCATCATGCTGTGGGGGTGTTTTTCAGCTGCAGGGACAGGACGACTGGTTGCAATCGAGGGAAAGATGAATGCGGCCAAGTACAGGGATATCCTGGACGAAAACCTTTTCCAGAGTGCTCTGGACCTCAGACTGGGCCGAAGGTTTACCTTCCAACAAGACAATGACCCTAAGCACACCGCTAAAATAACGAAGGAGTGGCTTCACAACAACTCCGTGGCTGTTCTTGAATGGCCCAGCCAGAGCCCTGACTTAAACCCAATTGAGCATCTCTGGAGAGACCTGAAAATGGCTGTCCACCAACGTTTACCATCCAACCTGACAGAACTGGAGAGGATCTGCAAGGAGGAATGGCAGAGGATACCCAAATCCAGATGTGAAAAACTTGTTGCATCTTTCCAAAAACGACTCATGGCTGTATTAGATCAAAAGGGTGCTTCTACTAAATACTGAGCAAAGGGTCTGAATACTTATGACCATGTGATATTTCAGTTTTCTTTTTTAATAAATTTGCAAAAATTTCTACATTTCAGTTTTTTTCTGTCAAGATGGGGTGCTGAGTGTACATTACTGAGAAATAAAATGAACTTTTTTGATTTTTGGAAAATGGCTGCAATGAAACAAAGAGTGAAAAATTTAAAGGGGTCTGAATACTTTCCGTACCCACTGTATATATCAACATGACTGGACTGCGAACTAGTCCCTTCATTAATCACTTTAAGTGGTTTGGTGTCATGTTTCACTTTCACTGTTAGGGGCCGTAGGCCTCACATTCCACCCCTTTTTCATCACTCAAAAATGTGTGCATGAAAAAGAAGATGTATTGGAGAGGGACAACCATTATATGGGCTACTGTTTAATCTCATACACCATCATACAATCATATAAGAATTAAGAATAATATACAATAATACATCTGATCTGAGTGACTTTAATCATAAAGTGACACACAACTGTACATTTATAGTTAATTAACAAATATTATTAAATAACTGTAAATAACTGTATTACTGAGTTTTATAGATATGGATATGGATTAAGCAACCAGATTTTCTTTTTTTAAGTATTGTTCTTCCAAGGTGCAAAATATTCTTACTAGCTGATCTTTATACCCTTTAGAATTTTTTTTTTAATAATGTCCTCTCTTGTTTAATCTGTATTTTATGTTTGAATGAGTTACTTTTATTTTCATTTTAATAACATTTAGCTTTCAGTCTGGCAATACATGTTTTTACATTCCTGTTTGTATAATACACAGGAAACAAAAAATTACAAACATTTAGATACCTCCAGCCTTAATACACGCACAGCCTTGTAAGGAGTAGGTTTCCACCTACCTGCACTGTCCGGTAGTGCGGTCACAGTCCAGCCCTGCGTTTGCTCTGATGCCATTTGGAGAGCATTCACAGCCCTCGCAGCCCAGCAAAGGGTGATAGCTGAAAGTCTGACTCTGACACACATCACAGGTTGGTTTGACGGTCTGAGGAGGGCAGATACATCGTCCTGTCACCTCGTCACAGAGTCGTCGGCCACACTCACACGCTGCACAGAGGAGAGAGGGGATTTCATTTGTTGACTATTGATTTCAAATGCATTTCAAATGAACTAGAGGTTAGAGAGCAGAAAGCTCTCACACCTTTAACCGGCTGTTGAAGTCAGAAGTAACCATTTACTCACGCCTGCAGTAGGGGAAACCGTAGTATCCAGTGGCACACTTTGTGCATTGTCGACCGATGACATGCTGCCTACAGGGACACTGTCCTCCAGTCGGATCGCAAGTGGTCCCTGTAGAGCCGGACTTGTCACAGTTGCAAGGCAGAGCTCCATCATTATAGGCTGCTACAAGTGAGCGTGCAGAGTCTCGGCAGAACTGGGAAGAAGTTCTCGGGCTGAGGGGGCAGAAACATTTATGTTTTTTTTAATATGGATGTGGTACAGTACTCCATTAACACAGCTAGAGGGCACCATTTCCAAATAAAAACAAAACTCAAACATAATATCACAGATTACAAGAGAGAAGAGCTGAAACAACTGATTAAATGTTTAAAGTACCATTTCAAATAGATTTGAGTCCAGCGCATTTCACAGACATGGTGGATACCTACTCAATAAAGAAACCTTCTCCTCTACATTGGTGAATGAAATCTGCAGATTTATCCAGCAGCTTCTCTTTCAGGAGATCTGGGGTATAACTGCTATCTGGAACCAGCAAAATATAATCCTATACAAAGGATACAAAGTATAACACGATTAAACAGATTTGTCAGTGTGATGCATATCGTGATAAACAGATAAGCTGAGGATTTGAAGTGTTTTAGCCATTTTTCTGTGTAGTTATATCTAAAGAAGGAACAGTGAAGCAGGTGAACAACAGGCAAGAAAAGCCCCTGCCTTACATTGGTTGGAAGCTCAGCTTTTATAAAGCTGTGTGGGGCTGCCAGGTAGAATACAGTCCCCTCATTGTTGTTGTTGGGGATAGGGCTAACACAAGGAGAGAGGAACTCAGCATGCCAAGTACTCAACATGAACAACTCAAGTGCAAAAAAGCAGACTCCTCAAACCTGAAGACTTTGCACAGGTATATCTTATTAATTTCTTGGATTTTCCCAACCATATTTCTATCATTTACTTTTCTTTTAATCTAGTGGGTGAACTTATCACATAAACCACTGACCAGAATAAGTGTCTTCCTAGGTGGCACGACCACAGAGATGGTGGGCAGCTGCCAAGAATTCTGGTCAAAGTCAAGGGCAATGCGGCCATCAGCGATCACAACTTCCCGGCAGCCTGAGACCGCAGGGCAGAAGGATGCATTTATTGAATCTGCAAGAGAAGAGGAGAGCCAAAGTTAAGTAGAGAAAGAGGAAGAAACCCTAGCATGCTGCACAATAATCCATCTCTCCTTTAAAGCCATTTAAGGAAGTGTGTCCAAGGCCTTTGATCATCCTGTCATGAGCCCAGGGACTTAATCTGCTCTTAAGGAGGAATAACTTTCCCAGTCACTGCCCGAGTAACCAACATATATAGAGCTAATATCCAATGGGAGCCAATAGATCCCTTAATTTCATTTCATTAGACAGGAGAAAGCCAACCACTTCCTTCAAATCACTCACCCTTCCACTCACGCCCAGCATCCACACGGACCTCCACCGGGAAGGAGGTATGCTCAGGCTGGTGATAATGGACAACAACCACGTACCTGCCCGGGAGGGGCACCCTGGGAGTGAAATTGATCTCTGTCTGGAAAAAAAATGAGGAGGAATGTTAAGCGTCAAACAGTCGTGATCAATTAAAGTCAGGGCAGACGGCACTCATTGAATGTCTCCAACTCCCAGCAGCAGGGTGAAGTCCAGAAAAGCTCAAATTATTCAACAAGGTTAGGAAAGGCAATACATGGTTTTTACCTGAGGGAATTTAAGCAGTATCCCATCACTCTGAGGCTCACGGACAGGGAACACCCCGGTCTGTCGTCTCTGTCTCCAATCCTCATTCTCTCGTCCTTGGGGAGAAACAGCTGGTGTTGAAGATAGCTGTCCATCACGGGCAGCATACAAAATCCAGGCTGAGGTTGGCTTGTCGAATTGCCTCAGAGAGCAGTGCCGACTGGAAACATTAAACAGCAACAAGATGTTGTTACTTAAGGCCTGTTGATAGTGTTTGCGGGCAGAACAACGTGACCTGTTAGTAGAGGGGTCAGTGGCCAATCAGAGGTTGTGACTGATGAAACAACATTAATCTCCAACAATCCTTTTTTAAATCTTTAAAGCCTCTGTTTATCACACTCACAATCATCAATGTGCAGACAAGCCTGACATCACACACTAAATATACACACTAAGGAAAGCTTTAGCATTACAGGCTAACATTCTGCCTTCATGTTGTGTGTCCTCCTTCCTACATCTACCTCCCCATTCCACTCCAATATTTGGTCAAACTTACTTCCCTGAATATCCCTCTTGTTACAAATTGGCCTTTAGAAACTGAATTGGTACAAATTGTCAAAATGTTTCAAAATTCAGACTGAATGAAATGTTTGGTAATGCTTATAACAGTCCTGCGATAACCACAGATACCGATTTTTTTCATTTTGTTTCAGAGCATTTGATTTATTGGTTGATGTTGGGATGTAAAGAGAATTTCATCAAATAGAACAAAAATGCTTCTGGAATACATTACTTACAATAGCTTTAATATTCTGTAACTATGGCAGCAGTGTGTGTAAAATAGGGAATGTGAACAATCAATCAATGCAATCAGCAAACACAAAGAGTAACATGATTTTATATTAATCATTGAATTCAGTTTTTTTAAGCATGTGTATTTGTGTGTTATGTTAAGCTTAGTTAAAATGTACCTTTCCAACTATTTCTGAGTTGACACATTTTTCCCCTTTTGGGGAGGCTTTTTCTAAACTGTCCAGGGTGAATTACACAGTACAAGGACAGGACTGCACACTGACAGCTGTACACACATGTGTAACTGTAACATCTAACCCGGTCATTAGTTTCAGAGAATGAGAGGAAATTTTAGTGTGACAGAGAAAGAAAGAAAGAGTTTGGCCCCTCAGTTCAGCCTCAGGTAAATGACCTTGCCCAGCTGGAGGAATGTGGAACCTGGAAAACAGTGTGTCTCCATACTCCAACAACAACAACACAACACAGAGGTCTAGTCTTGTATCATCATCTCCTAAATTGCAGCTTACATCCATGGGTGCTGAACAATTCTCTGTGTGACTATATGTCAAAAGCATGCAAGTTTATTTAAGGTGACTCACCTGTCTTCAGTGAAGCGGCCATTAGTGGAGACACACAGCACCTTGGGATCTACATACTCAATGGAGAACTCTTCTGCAGGGACTGCATACACTTTATACTACAGGGAGAAACAAATGTATTTTAAACTTTGTGCCGATGTCTAGATATTGAGCTATTATAAATATTTTGTGGAAACATTTTCTCCCACCAACAGGAATGATGCAGTGGAAGTTTGCAGAAGGACCTCCGTCTTGTGAGTAAGCTCCAACACTGTCACCTGATTGCTGCTGGTCACTGCGACACTCCGGCACAAAAAGCTGCAAGTATTAATACACGCAGCTGAAATATAAGACATATCCTACAACTTTCTAGATCTAGGATGTTATTATTTGTACAAACTGTAGAGACATAACATCAACAAAATACTAGTACAAGAAATGTTTGAAAAGCTGACGAAAACAAATACAAGACTGACCTGTAGGCACAACTGTATATGTTAGCCCTGGCCAGGATCTGGCTACCTGACTGGACTTTGATGAGTATGTTGGCATTCTGGACAGTGTCCACCTCGCTGGCATACTCCAGGACAAGGGTGTATGGGCCAGGACGAGGCACGCGTAAACTGAGTTGGAGCTGTGACTACAGGACACAGATCACACAAAGTCATTTGATTTGATTTTAATGAACTCCAATGAAAGGACAAAACAAATTATGGTAGGTAAAATGCAATCAGTAGAAGATTATAAAAGCATGTCCAAGTATTGAATTGAAAGATTTAGCCTTAGTTAATTGGGCAGTAAGTCCCAAAGTCCCCAGTTGCCAAAAGCCCATTAACCTGCTTTTATTCTGGACTTTGAACAGCTGATAAGAAAATACCTAGGACTAGTGTTGTAGTCAAGACCGCCCAGACCGAGACCAAGTCAACACCAAGACCAGAGTTTATCGAGACAGAGACAAGACCAAGACTTTTAGGGGCTGAGAGCAGTTGAGACCAAGACCAAAGGAGGGCGAGATCGAGACTAGTTCCCCACATTACATGACACACAATAAAATGTGGAACGAGATCATATTGTAGATACTTCTCAAACTGATCTGAAAGATCCACATTCCCATTAAAACACCCAGATACAAACACTAAGAGCTGAAATCAACGTAATCTTTATTCACTCCTTTTCCATGCTTACCATCGCGGGGAGGGGTAACAGTCGTTAATGGTTACAAAACATTTTTATTTAGGGTTATTGGTTGCATTTCAAGCAAGCTACGTTTTACATCCAATCAAAGTTAGGATGTTAACCAAATCAGACAATGCAAAAGCAATTTATTGATATTCCCAAAGTTATGGTCTTGACTGGTCTTGAAATAAAATCCTGAGTCCTCAATGTCCGAGACTGAGACAAGACCAAGACCATCAGAAAGTGGTCTTAAGACCGGTCTCAAGACCAAGACCAGTCTCGAGTACTACAACACTACCTAGGACCTCAGTCTGTTAGTTAGCTTTGTCTTCAGCCTATTCATGCTTTAAAGGTGATCAAAACAATATTGAAACAAAACACTGAACCCAAAAGTAATTGGTCAAAAATCTATACTGTATGTTGGTCTGTGTGTAAATACAGGCTTTCTACCTGTCTACCATTGAGGGCGGCCATCTCAGGGTGATCTGGGGTGGGACGCCGAACACGAGCCTGCCTCCTCTTGCGCCCGCTGCGGCTGGAGAGTGTTCCTTGTGAGCCCAGTGCAGAGCTAAAGCCATCCATGGCCACATGCTTATACAACAGGCAGCTGAGACACACAGGCATAGCAATAATCAGGAAGAATGGTGAGAGATAGTTACGATGGAAGTTATGATCATCCTGTTTTAGTTCACCTGGAAACAACAAGTCTAAAATATTTATAAAACATTGCTTAGCATACTGTTTAATGCAAGGAATATTTGCCATTTTGATGGCTATCCTTTCTCCAAATGTACTGCTTATTACAAATCTACTGAAAAATTAGGTGATTTCTCTCCTTAGCCTTTGGCACATATCACATCTCTGTATATCTGTATATTATGATTTATTATAGCTATAAAAACACCTGTACAGTTTTAAACACAAAAATAAACCCTCATATTTATTATGAGAGATGAATGATCATGTTAGGTTTAGCTGAACCAAGCCAATAACTGTATGGAACTGCATATGGAGATGATAAGCTGTGAGTGCAGTATAAAGAAAAGGATGGATGGCTATGAAAACAAAACCTACCATTGTCATGCATGAGTGGTGAGTATGAAATAGAGACAGAAATTTGAAAGAATTACTTTGTATCCCTGTTTGCACTGGGTAAGTATGTGCAGGGCTGGGTGATCCTTTCCTGCAGCAAAGGTGCCTCATAGTAATACCGGGGCAGCAGCACTAAATAGTCCTGGAGAGTGAGAGTGACAATGTGTACTTCACCATTCAGCCTATTACACATAAGGTTTTTTTTTCTCTGATGAACAAATGAACAACAGAATTAACATAGAGCAATAATACACAGGAAGATTTGTTTTCTTTTAACTTTTTACATGACGATTTCTACATCGTTCTCGTCCCTACAAACTCACCAGCAGAACCCCCTCTACCCTTATGTGAATGACCCATTTCCCAGGTGTCAATGCAAAGGGCTCAGCGAACCCCTCTCCTGGGACAGTGAGGAAGGATGGGGAGGGACTCTCAGGGAATATGATGTCCTTACTCTGATCTGACCCTACCAAACAGCAAAGCAGAAATGTCTATAATGTCACATATTCATAGTTAAGAGCACAGAAACACATGTACCAGCTTGCATATAAATGTCACAAAGGAAATTGGTTGTTTATTTTTATTTCTTTAATGATGAGTTAGATTTGATTATATGATATGTATGTATTATGTAGCTAATTCAGTGTCAGAGGCAGTCTTACCTGCAGCGCCTCTGTTATTGGTAGCCTTGATGCTACCTGTCACACTGGCGCTGCTCGGGTTAGTGAACCGCAGAACCACACGGAAAAAGTGCTGCCTCCGATCTTTTGGGTCAACATGCACTGTTACTCTGACCTCACTCTGCAGGGATGAGAGTGACACACAGCTGACTGCAATGGCACAGGTTTGAGTAGACGATGGTAGTATAATGTTAAGAGAGAGGTTAAAAATCATGTCAGGTGGGCAGAGAATTTAAAAGTTCAGTGTGTAATATTTAGGAGGATTTATCTCCGTCTATATTAAAACGACTGAAAACGCACTGCTGGGACTGTTACTGAATGTAACACGGGAGTTAAAAGCGGCTGAGGCGGAAAACAGTTTTAAAACAAAAAACGGGGTCGGCAGCGTTTTTAAACTTCTCTTTTAGGTCTTCGTTTTCGCCATTGTGGTCTGACGGAAGGTGCAAACGTAGCAAAAGGTCTCCGTTTTAAAACGAAAACGCAATAGACTGGATGGGGCCTTAGAATGAGACATTTCTGTCTACATCCACCACGGGTCCCCTTACATGGAAGTCACCATGTTGCACCGCCATGTTTCTACAGTATCCCAAATGAACAAACCGCTTTACAGAGCATTTTTCGTCACTACGTTGAATATGTACAAAGAAAAAGAGAAGAAGAAGAAGAAGAAGTAGTAGTAGTAGTCGTTGTCTGGTTCATAAGAGTAAGAAGAGACCTTGGACAAATGGAGGATCACACGTATTATTTAGCAAAAGAGCCGATAGAGGAGCTGAGTAGCTTCTCATCCGTGCGTGCAAAGAGAGAGGGGAGTGGTGAGTCAGCCATTGGTTGCAATTCGCAGCCCTCACCACTAGATGCCACTACAACGTACACACTGAAACTTTAAGCAAACAGTGCGGGTTAATCAACGTATAGCAATCAAAGGCGAAGACAGGAAAGTACAGTCAAAAGAAGGCGTGCCCTTCACTTACAGTCACAGCAAGACTGAAAGCCAGCTTCATCTACCACCAAGATCTTTGCTCTCACTTGTGCTCTCCCCTTTTGTAGGAGGGTGGAGTAGCGCATTACAATATGGAAAGGGCCAGGAAAGCCAAGGGTAAGATTTAGGATCACCTCCGGCTAAAGAGAGATAGCATTAGTTCTAAGAGAGCTGATTGTCAACATTCCCTCATCAGCCCTGATGTAATAAAAGGTTGTGTCCTTTAAGCAGGAATATCAGTGCAGAGGAAAAAAGCCAAACAATCATGGTTGTACCATAATAGACTGTAAAAAGGAAGCTATAAGGTTATTGAAATTGTAATTCTCCCAGACATACTGTAATTTATTAGAATAGTCACATCAGTGTATACAATATACCAAGGTACTGTGATGTGAATATGTACAGACCTGTGCAGGAGACATTACAGCATAACCTCTCCAGCTGAAATCTGGGAACTCTTGGGGGTTATAACCAAAGCGCACTGGTCTGGCATTTGGTGTGGTGCCATCCTCAACCTCAAACTTCAGTTGGTGGAGAGTCGGGAAATAGTAGCTTGGTTCTGGTCTAACAAGAAATTAATTAATAAAATTTAAATCAAAACTATGTCTCATAAGAGTCTCAATTTGCAAAAAAACAAAAATATTTCATGTAAATGTTTCGTCTGGATCTTAATGCATGATGATATTTAAGACAGACATTTCTTACTCATTGCATTTGCGGCCAACTACATTATTCCGACACCGACATTGTCCGGACATCTCATCACATGCCATGTCAATGGCACCACCTACATCACACTGACAACCTATCAGGGAGAGTAAAAGTTATTTATTATAGAGTCATACTGAAAAGCAGTGTTTCCCTGACCTCTCTGGTTAAAGGTTTGAAGTGTGTTGCAACTCTAACCCCCCCAGCATCACTGATGGGTGTTGCATCTGGAACCACACTCAATGGTGATGTCACGGCGTATTTGCCAAACCTGAGAACACTTAGTCTGTATATCACTGCAGTAAGATGAGAGGTTAAAACCCCTGAAGGCCAGCAAAATAAATTTTTCATTAAGAAGGAAGTCTTACCTTGACAACCAAAATACATCTTTTTCTGCAGCAGGAAGTATCCATCCTTACAGGTGTCACATGCATGTCCACATACGTTAGGCTTACAGTGGCACTGTCCACTTTTCTAGACAAAAAGATCATCAGCAGACAAGAAGACAAAAATGTGACAAAATTCTAAGTCAAAACTCTTTACGATAACGGTCTAATCTAAATCACAGTTTGATTAATAGATGTGTATTGGTCACTGGAGGTAGTTATAAAATACTCACCTGTTCACACTCTCCAACACCACTCAGGGTCCCTTTCACATCACACTGACACTCTGTAATGAGAGGTAGACAGAGAGAGAGGGAGGAAAAGTTAAGAAAATATTAAGGGGGATCTATGGTGAACAGACTCTGATTACCGGATTCTGTCACTTTCATGGGTGAAACACAAGAGCACAAAACCACACTATCTTCAGAGATCTGCACATCAAAGGTCCAGAGGAGATTTATTGTGGCATCTTGCTTTCAACCCAGTGAAAAAAACTTCCCCTTAATGTCCAGCCACCACCAGTCAGGCATTCTTAGGATATTAAAAGCTCTTTTTCCCCCTACTTGTGTCTTCAGGCAACATGGTAGTGGCAACATTCTTGCTAGGGAGCAGAACTGTAACATTAAACAGGCTTCCGGACAAAGCCTGAAGCTGTTCCCTCACTGGCTAGATAATGTGAGTCAAGTATTTTAATTGGATTAGGACTTTTTTAGGAGTATTTTTTGTGGGATGTATTGTTTTTAATGTGGCCCTAGGTTACTCATTACTGCAAAGCCACAGCATGAAATCTCGCAGGTTCACTTGCAGCTCCACACTCAAAGCGGTTAACAGGAATTTGCCTGTATTTACGTGTTATTTTTCAGCTCCCCTCAGAGGGACAGGAAGGCAGATCTGGCCTTGTTGACAGGGGTATGTTGACATATCCTCTGGGTAAGAGGGGCCAAGACCCATATCAGTACCTTGTCAGATTGCTACTGTAATTTAATGTAGTGGAAAATAATGGGTTGAGTGATTAGAACTAATAATTCTGGAGGAAAAAAAGAGACTGGGAACCTTTGGCTGACAGGAAGTATTTGTTTATTCTTATTTCTTACAACTTTTACAAAAAGTGATAGTTTTCTGTACTATTTATATTTCCAGTCACTTACCCATACAACCACGAGGGTTGTCTGTAGCCAGATTCCAGTAGAGAGGTTTACACCTGTCACACAGGGTTCCCTCTACGTTTTGTAGGCAGCGGCAGGAGCCCTGAAACAATAGATATGGAATCTTAGGATTGTTGAGACTAGTAGCTACTGTTGAAAGTTTATATTTGTTTACAATCCAACTAAAATCAGTTGTAACGGTTGCATATTGTACTAAAATGCCAGTTTTCTGAATTACTGGAAATTTGCAGTTTTTCCAACATAGGATACGTTCCAAAATAGAGGCGAAAATGACCTTCAAGAAACTCGTTGTTGTTTTTCTTCCTCCTCAAGATGGAAGGAAGTCTCTTTTCCTTTACTTTAATTGCATTTACATTTCAGGGGAAAACACTTCCTTGAAAAATCAACTGGACGATGTTTTAGCAACACATCTGTGTTATCAGTTATATAACTTTGAGGTAACGTGAGTCCACACCTAAAGGGCCAATGCTGGATTTAGACTGTGAACACTTCTGTTATCAAAGCTAATAAAGACATGATCACAGTAAAAAACTAAAGGTTATTGAGAGTGTCATACCGTTTGAGGATCAGTGACCTCAGTTCCTGCCATGTTACACACACTGATGGAGGCTAGAAGCACAAAATGAATACACAACAAAATAAAAGAAACATTAGAAAATCAGTAAATTGTGTAGTTACTTTCTGTAGGACACTATCAAATTTGGCCCAAAGGGTGTCAAAACTCTTCTATTAAGGGGAACAAGAGGGAACTATCAACGTATTAAACAAATTACATCCTTTAACAATAGGACATTACTGAACCCCATCAAAAAGACCCAGCCATATTAAATATTCTAACGGTTGCTAGTAAATATGATGGTTCTTGATGTGGTTACCTGAGCAGTGGGGGAATCTGAGTCCTGATGCACAGCGGTCACACTGCTGGCCCACCACCCCTGGGAGACACAGGCACTGACCCGACAGTGGGTTACATATGTTGCCATATGAGCCTTCATGTGAACATTGGCAAGCTGGGGACAGGAAACAAGCTGAAGTAAGAACTAAAAATGTAAGCCTGTGGTGTATCATCATTTGGTCTAGAATCTTATTTTCTTCAGTGATTCCCAGTTGTCCATTCTTGGAAATATGATTCAGTCCATATATACATACTGTATCTCATGTTCCAGCCCTCTGTGAAATGCTGTGTCATGCAGAATACATGACATGAATCAATGCGGATGACAACATAAGAGTTTTCAGGGGATACTGTGGGAGAATGATGATGTTTGCTCCACAGAGTCATGAGAAGAGACCACAGTATGCCCAGTAAAACCAGCAGCAACATTTTTTCCACCAGCACTCAGATCACATGCACCCAATTGGTTTATCTCTCGTAGTTTCACTGGTGGACATAAAGGGATCCAACCCACTTACCAGCACAGTCCGGGTATCCATAGTAGCCCGGTGCACATGCGTCACACTCCTGTCCCCCATAGCTGGGAAAGCAAACACACTGGCCACTTGGACTGCACACATTGTCAGCCACGCCAGCCCCATCACAGAGACACTCTGTAGGAAGAGAAAGAGGGTGATGTTACAGTTTTATACTCCATATTCTGCATTAGAATCCAAATAATCAATCATAATTAATTGTAGGTGTATAGCACTGTAGGATTCCTTTAAATCTACATAACATTGGTAAAAAACAAAACAAAACATAAAATACATAAAAACATTAATTATATAAACTGTGAACTAGCAAGGAGCTTTAACAACTCAAAAGGAATAAGCTAGATGATAGGATTAAATTGATTATAATGGTGTGTGTTTCTCAGGAAGGTCACTTTAGAGGTTCAAGGTTCAAGTGTCAAAAGTCATAGACTTAAAAATAGCTCCCTCCAAAAATGGCCCTGCTCGAAGTGTTCCTGCTCCAGAAACTAGTGCACCCAGGTACATGCAGACAAAATTATTGTGTAACAATAAAGCACAAGCTTGCTGGAGAAACTGTTCAAATTCTTTGAACAGCAACCCTTACTGTGTAATTAGTCCAAAGTATCACTACTGGCTGCCATTTGGAAACATATCCCCATTTCCTTTGCTGGTATGCTATATTTATTTACATCTACATTATAACATCTCGTGGCCATCTCTTCCAAAATAAAGGTCATGTTTCATAATAATTCAGTCACGTTACACTGATGAGGTTGTGTTTTTACAGTGCATGCGGGGTGAATGCTGATTGGCCTGGTGATTGTTTCTCACCCTGGCAGTTTGGGAAGGAGTGGTATCCTGGTTGACAGCGATCGCATCGCTCCCCCTCCACACCCTGACGGCACTGGCAGCGTCCTGTCGCATCGCACACCCCGTACGCTGTCCCTCTATAGTCACATATACACTCTGTGCACAAACATATTAGAAATGGGTTTATCAATAACAGTAAACTAATTAAATCCTAACTAATATAAAGTCAAATGAGTTGCCCTGTAGAATCCTGAAGTGTACTTAAAAATTACCCTGAGCTCCTTCTTTGGTCGGGCTAAACAATACGGAATGTCAAATACATCCATCAGTTGAACTATTACGTACGGTAAGGTTACACTGGTGCCCATGTCTTGCCAAGCCTCACCTGGCACTGGTATGTGAATAGACCTGGCACTAAGACAGGACAGTCGCCAGGAATTTTATTTTCCCCTAAGCAGCTCCCAAACATTAAAATCAGCTTGTCAAAGGCTGCTGATGAAATTCCTTCTCAGTCAGCTCACAAGATAAAAAAACATGTTAAGGAAAATTATTGTTTGCCTACAATCTCTGACAAATGATAAGACAGAAAAAGCCAAGGATTAAAGGTCTTTGTTTTAATAGAAATGCCATATTATTAATAATGGGTTTCCCAGCTTAGAGGAAACCAGAAAAGGAAATTTAGAACAAGGGCCATGACTAATAATAGACTGGTTAGTTCTCACTAAACAGTCCCAACTGACCATTGCTATCAAGAGAGGACAGAGACCCCTTGAGCTTAAATCCCCACTGACACACATGATGAATCTATGACTAGTGCTCAACAAATGCATGAGATCTTCTGTCACTGAGAAGCAGATTTACTCACTCTGATTGTATATTAAACAAGTATTTTCACCATCCCATTTAACCCAACCATAATATACTGCCAGTTCTCCATGAAGCCTACAAACATGACCTGACCTTCAGTCATGACTATATACAAAATTCTTTTCTTGACTGACCCCTGCCACATGTTCTTAACATTTAACTCTGCAGAAAACCAAGTCAGGCTGAGTAGTGCCTTACATGGTCCTCTAAAGCCCTTTTTTAACAACTCAGTCTGCCTTTAAGTAAATGTTACTCAAGTGTCAAGGGCAAAAGTCAAGGGCTGCCCAGTAAAAAAGCTCTTTGAGAGGATTCACTACCAGTAGTATGTTTTTAGATACAGTAAATGCAAATGTGGAGCAGCAATAAAAGCAGTCAACGTAGCATAGCCGTGGAAACGTCTCTATAGTAGCGCAACATATCAGGTCTTATCACACTCACGTTGACAGCTTGGGGAGCCAAAATAACCCGGAGGGCAGGCAGTGGGCACTATGCAATGAAACAGAAAAAAGGTGATGGCTAAGAAATACACAAAGAAAGATGTTCAAAGGTAATAGTATTTCAAATGATTGTTTAAGAACATCTGTCAAGCTAAATAGTGGTTTGAGACACTGCAAAATCTTCTTTCATGGACTTACCCACAATAGGTCCTGCAGGGGATTTGGTGGTCGTGTCGTATACGGGATATCCTGATTGCGAAGGAAAGGTACGAAATTAAGATCTCCACTGAAGGGAAACTGTGACCAAGTAAAACCTCAAGTGTCACCTTTGTTTATCGCAGTGGGGAATTGCTTTTGCAACAACAGACTACAATGCAGTTCGAGGCCCCCCCCCCACCCCGTGAAACCATAACTTGTTGTTTTGTACAAACTAAACAAACAAGATATAACATGTTAATGAGCTTTCGAGGGGCCGGTTGGTGGATTTTGGTACCTTCAGCCTGAACCAGGCTTGTCAAAGAATCCTTTTAACATTGTGGTTGTTATTAGCTGTACTTTTTCCCTGTGGTTTTCTGTTTTTTGCCATAATTTCCTTAGTCCTGTGCTTTTGTTCATGTTTAGTGTTTTCCTGATCTGTGTACTTCTGTGATTTATTGTTATGGTCTGTCTTAGTCTTATATCTCCATGTTATAGTGTAGTCTTGTCTCCTGTTTGGTCCCGTCTCTGTGCGTGTCCTGATTTTGCTGTCTTTCCATGTTTTGTGTTTTACTTTGGTAGATCTGTCCTTGTGTGTTCCTGTGAACTTTACTTCCTGTTTTATTTTGGTAATATTCTGTACCTGGTGTCCTTGTCTAGATTTGTTTGATTACCTGATATATCTCCCTCCCTGCTCATTTACCAGTGTATATATTGTCTTCAGTTGTCTTCAGTCTTTGTCATGTCCTTGCGTCTATGTGTGTTCTGCCTAGTGCTCTGTTCCCTGGATTCTGGTTTGTTCCCCTGTTTGGATTACTCTGTCTTTGTGTTGGATTTACCCTCTTCTGGATTACCTTTGTTTGGACTTTTGTACCAAGCTTCCACATAAGCCTGTTTAGTTATTTTAATAAACCTTATTTTGAACTGCATCCTCCTCTCGCCTTGCTGTTGTCTGCAATTGGGTCCACAACCCTCAGTTCCCTGCCACTTTACTCAGCTACCCCCTTGACAGTGATCCCTCTATGTAATTAATCATAGCCTTCTACTAGCAATAAACTAGATCGACTTTGATCTGCTGTATCACAAACACAGGTTGTAGAAATTCCCTACAGTTACATAAAACAGCAGAGAAGAATCTCTTGAAACCCATACAGCCTCCTAATGACTGTATCAACCTGTTCAGACTAGTTTGTCAGCGCCAGCAGCCAGGAGGTGAGAGACCCAGTTTTAGGGATAATGTCTAGTGATAAATCACTCTACTGCTCATAAAATTCCAAGTTACAATTCAATTCACATTTATATGACATAAGAAATAAAGCACCTCGGGCAGATTACAGATTTGTTTTTGTTTTTTTTTTATTCTGTTTAAAACTAACAGGTCAATCAATGATTTTACCATGACCATTCCACCATGACAAGGTGCCTCTCTATGACCCATTATATGGAAATAATTCCAGTTAAATTAACACGAATATAATTTAAAAAAGTGACAATTTTTTAAATTCAGGAAATTATAAGCTGAATGCTCTAGCAAGTTCATGCAGAGACCTTAAAAAAGACTATAGTTAGAGACAGAAAAAAATATTTAAAAAGATGAAAGTCTGGGTGGCTTATCTCCATGCCCTGGAAGACTCCTGAGTCTGAAGGCAGATCAGTATGAGATAACATGGGGAGAACTCTTTGTGTGTCTAATATCTGCATCTATTTGTTAAGATGGTGGTATGACATGTGGAATGTGCCTTAGTCAATACTATATTATATGCATACACCTTCATGCATGTAGCCCTGCCGCATTAAAGGCATACTTCTTTGAGTATATAATAATGATAAGCCTCGTCCAAAAAGGAAGGATTCTTTCCTCAAGGGGAAAACTGACAGACATAAACACAAAAGGCTAAAAAGAAAAGGGTGAACATGAAACAGATTCCAGCCATCAAAGGGTGGGTTCAGGTTCACCTGACTGTGTATACAGTGGGTACGGAAAGTATTCAGACCCCTTTAAATTTTTCACTCTTTGTTTCATTGCAGCCATTTTCCAAAAATCAAAAAAGTTCATTTTATTTCTCAGTAATGTACACTCAGCACCCCATCTTGACAGAAAAAAACAGAAATGTAGAAATTTTTGCAAATTTATTAAAAGAAAAACTGAAATATCACATGGTCATAAGTATTCAGACCCTTTGCTCAGCATTTAGTAGAAGCACCCTTTTGATCTAATACAGCCATGAGTCGTTTTGGGAAAGATGCAACAAGTTTTTCACATCTGGATTTGGGTATCCTCTGCCATTCCTCCTTGCAGATCCTCTCCAGTTCTGTCAGGTTGGATGGTAAACGTTGGTGGACAGCCATTTTCAGGTCTCTCCAGAGATGCTCAATTGGGTTTAAGTCAGGGCTCTGGCTGGGCCATTCAAGAACAGCCACGGAGTTGTTGTGAAGCCACTCCTTCGTTATTTTAGCGGTGTGCTTAGGGTCATTGTCTTGTTGGAAGGTAAACCTTCGGCCCAGTCTGAGGTCCAGAGCACTCTGGAAAAGGTTTTCGTCCAGGATATCCCTGTACTTGGCCGCATTCATCTTTCCCTCGATTGCAACCAGTCGTCCTGTCCCTGCAGCTGAAAAACACCCCCACAGCATGATGCTGCCACCACCATGCTTCACTGTTGAGACTGTATTGGACAGGTGATGAGCAGTGCCTGGTTTTCTCCACACATACCGCTTAGAATTAAGGCCAAAAAGTTCCATCTTGGTCTCATCAGACCAGAGGATCTTATTTATCACCATCTTGGAGTCCTTCAGGTGTTTTTTAGCAAACTGCGGGCTTTCATGTGTCTTGCACTGAGGAGAGGCTTCGTCGGCCACTCTGCCATAAAGCCCCGACTGGTGGATTGCTGCAGTGATGGTTGACTTACTACAACTTTCTCCCATCTCCCGACTGCATCTCTGGAGCTCAGCCACAGTGACCTTTGGGTTCTTCTTTACCTCTCTCACCAAGGCTCTTCTCCCCCGATAGCTCAGTTTGGCCGGACGGCCAGCTCTAGGAAGGGTTCTGGTCGTCCCAAACGTCTTCCATTTGAGGATTATGGAGGCCACTGTGCTCTTAGGAACCTTAAGTGCAGCAGAAATTTTTTTGTAACCTTGGCCAGATCTGTGCCTTGCCACAATTCTGTCTCTGAGCTCTTCAGGCAGTTCCTTTGACCTCATGATTCTCATTTGCTCTGACATGCACTGTGAGCTGTAAGGTCTTATATAGACAGGTGTGTGGCTTTCCTAATCAAGTCCAATCAGTATAATCAAACACAGCTGGACTCAAATGAAGGTGCAGAACCATCTCAAGGATGATCAGAAGAAATAGACAGCACCTGAGTTAAATATGAGTGTCACGGGAAAGGGTCTGAATACTTATGACCATGTGATATTTCAGTTTTTTAATAAATTTGCAAAAATTTCTACATTTCTGTTTTTTTCTGTCAAGATGGGGTGCTGAGTGTACATTACTGAGAAATAAAATGAACTTTTTTGATTTTTGGAAAATGGCTGCAATGAAACAAAGAGTGAAAAATTTAAAGGGGTCTGAATACTTTCCGTACCCACTGTACATTGACACAGTGAGCTTCCTAAAACATACACACAACTTTATGAAATAATAAAGGTTTCTCTCTTATCCAAGTTTCAAAAAGGCACGGGTATGGTTAACTGCACCTTCCTTTTTGACTGTGCCTTTACTTGCAGCTATCACAGATGTGATTCATGTCATATGACTTATAGGATTTGCACACCAGAATTGCATCTTTAGCACATTCACCTTTATGTTTATCCACCCCCCCGTTAGGTAAACTGGGTATCCAGTGTGTGACAAGAAAAAACTAAACTTACGAATGCACTGAGGGTAGTAATAGTATCCGTCAGCACAGCGATCACAGTTTTCTCCGGCAAATTGTGGGTTGCAGATACACCTTCCAGAGCCCATTTCACAGCCAACTGTAGTCCTTTCATCACATCTGCAGGCTGGTGGGGGTCACATGTTTTTTTAACATGGGCATGCATACACATACACAGCACAGAATTTTTGATTGTGAGGAAAAAGACATTTACTGTACATAACAAAAGATATCAGTAACAAGTAAAGAAAGCTTCCAGCCATCCATCCTCTCAAAATGACAGATCTAAGAAGCAAATAATGATTACTGAACCTTTACTGACTCCTCTGCTAAGCTCACATAATTTAGTTTGTGGATTTTATGATTTACTTTTCAAAGCGCTGAGGGCAACCAGTTTAATTCCACTACTTTCTTATGTCCAAACACAACTGGCAGCTATTTATACAGCGAGGGACAGCCATGGACCATTAAAGTAACGTAAACAAGAGCGGAGCCCAGTTTAGCAATAATACATGCGGTGGTGCCATTTGTGTCCGTTTCAAACAAGACACTGATGCCTCTCTTTGAATATAACACTGTTTTGGCTTCACTTGTCCCGTCATACATAATGAAGGTCAAATTCAGTTTTTATTATTTATCTAGTGGTGCATCCTGGTAATTTGACAGATGGTTCAAACCAAACAAGTAACAGTTTTGTAATATGTTTTTATTGCATTAATTAAAGTGGCTGCTGAAACTCACTTGGATCTATTCAACATCTAAATGTTTGCAATAATGTCTTACACACATCACTCGACTTTACTTAATAGGCATTTCAACTGTGTAATATGTCTAATATAATTTCTACTACCTCACGTCTAGAGATACAGCATGAAATCAGACTGCAGCACTTGCACACAAATCAGAACAACCATTGACACACAAATCAGAACAACCATTGACTGCCAACCTCCAAATAAAACAGAACACGGAAAAATACCAAAACAAAAAATAAAACATACTCAAGCCAGCCACGGCTATCAAGTCTGAGATACAAACACTCCTGCATACCTTACTAAGCAAAGTCGTTTAAAAAGGGACAAATGACAATGTGACAGTGTTGCGGTAAATCAAGGGACAAACAAAGAAAAGGCAACTCACGTATGCATCCAGTGGGAGACTCAGGAGGTACTCCATATGGTCTATAGAAACCTTCAAGGCATCGCTCACAGTTCACTCCAGCAGTGTTGTGCTACAGAAGAACACAGAAATAATGTGTGAGCCATAACTGCTACATAATTGAACAGGAAGAATACAACAGAAGATGTCCGTATATGTGTCCTCTTTCTTTCTCTGTAAAGTTGAATATCTTCAAATGCATACTGATGCACGTGAGTGGACACAACGCTTACATGTACTCTCTGCATCAGTATCATATTACAGAGGGATGATATATAAACCAAAAAAACTTAATACAATTTTTTTTTGGACAAAAAGACGATGAAATTCTGAGTGGTAAGAGAAAAGTGTGTTAATGTGAAAGGTTTGTGTTGGCCTCACAAACCCGTTCCCAAATGCTAATAGACGACTCCATAAAGATATGCACAGATAACTTGGAATTCATTTTTTTTTTCATTTTTTTTATACCCTCCTCCTCCCCTGTGACTTTACACATTCACACACAGGAATCAGTTTAGACTTGACATTGCATTTCTTACCTGGCAGTTGATACACACTCCTCCTCCATCGTACCTGCCGAAGGTGTCCAAACTTGCTCCCCTCTTTTCTACCTCTGGGTCGTAATAACAGTCAAAGGCATGGGAGAAACACTGGCAGGCTGAAGAGGAAACCCCCAAGACACACACACACACACAGAATTATTTTGTATGCCTCAGCAAATTACCTCTGACTCCGCTCTCTGTATTTAAGCACCTTTAAGCTACTCATTTTCCTACGAGTAAAGTCTGGTTGTTAAGAATAAAGAGAAACTATAAAATCCAAACTAAACAAGATGGCGCATCTTCTTCCTGTATACCACCCCTGTGCCTTATTAATGTTTATGAATGGTTAGGGTACATCTCAGTTGCATGAGAACACTGATTGGATTACCAGCCTTCATCTTTCTCTCTCTGCTTTTGTGGCTGCTACAAGGTCATGTTTCATGAAGGAAAAATTTGTCAACAGTCCAAAGCAATTAGATTCCAGTTGACATAGGCTCTGCTGGCAGACTGGATGGCTCACCAATAAGATGGCATGGGGGACTATCCGATGGGCTGGTGCAGGCCTGGCTAGCCAGCTGACTAGCTAGCTTAGCTGACAAAGAGCAGTTATCCTGGTGATAGTTGTGCACTGTGCTGTTCATCACACATACCATAAGAGGAATGTCCTCTCAACTCTTCACTGAGGCTCTCTACAATACCATATCAGGGCATCCACAACAGAGCTTAACTATCAGAGGCAAGAGGACACTTCAGTCCACTCTGGGGGTCGTAATTCAAGGAGCCAACATCATGGGCAGGCTCAGAGTGAGGTTTTGTTTACACATTGAATGAATCATTATACATGAACACTTACGATGACACTCATTGGGGCTGTCAACAGTTGCAGCACGCCATGGCTTTTGGTTAAAGCCTGGGCAGCAGTGGTCACATGACTCACCGCAGGTGTTGTGCTGGCACTCACACTGGAGTCTACAGACAGGAGATGAGGACATGGATTTAGTGATGCTCAGAATTTCATTTGCAGCCCAGAACTTTCTTTAAACCTGCATTAACAGACTATATACCACTCGGGCAGCAAGACAAGCTCTGAACACATTATTACCTTATTTAGTTGTTATGGTAAACATGTCAGCAAACAACTGCCTATTTATACAGCAGACACAGATCGACATCTGCATTCATTTGGAATCATGTTTCAGGCAAGCCAACCCAATAGTCAAATATTCAGTCCACTTTTAGCTCTGTTTGGTCTCAACCAACTCCTGAGGGAAATATCTCTAGCTCTTTAGCTGCTAGCTAGCTAGTGCTAACTTTGTCTGCCTGTCGTTTGGTTCTGGGTAAGTAGTGTATCAGAGCTTTTTCCTGATTTTTTTTTCCTGATTCTTGCAGCACTTGAAAACAACACTGATGAATAGCGAGACAGAACCAGAACAGTAAAGCTGGCGGGGAGCTGTAAAAACCAAAACAATAAGCTGAAAGAGGCTAAATTGCTCCAACTCTCAGGGGAACTGTAGAGTCCGGATATAATTCTCGGCCACTCCAAGACATACTTTTCACGTTATACATAGTAGCTTGATTATTAGTATAAAAACTAGAATAATCTGCTGCCCTTTACAATGGTGATGTCAGAGTATAAAAATATGAGGTAATTGTCCTCCCTCAGAAACAGTTCACTGTCAGATCACTAGATGTGGCAGCATATCTGTGGTCCTCTTCATTTTTAGCATCATGTCATCTCAGTACATTGGTTATAGACATGAGGCCATTGTACAAAATGGCTATTAAGCTATGTTATTGAATAAACACATGAAAAATGGATTTCCTGATTAAAGTTACCTACAAAGTGAACCTTTCCAGTTTAGTCTTGTTTAATTAATGAGTGATGAAAAATGCATCAACCCCACAAATGTACTGTGTCAAACATGTATAGCATTGCTTAAGATGAAGAGCGTTACAAACCTGTTTGGGTTGTCTTGGTTCCGCCCCCCACCACACACCTGTGCATGCCCGTGACAAACGCAGCGTCCACCGATGCTGATGTCTTTGATACTATAGTAATACTGTCATCAAATAAGGAAAATGTTATCACCAGCACTATTTCAAAATAATAGCGGTGTTATCAGCAACTACGCAACATCACCCACACCAGAATAAATGTCTGGCTTTGCTTGGCAGCAGAAGTGTAGAAGTACAAACTAAAACCATGATGCATGTGGTAAGGCTAGTTTTATGAGGTGAAGCAGTTCAAAAAGATAAGAATCAACAGCCGACATCACAGATTTATTCTTGGCATTAATGAGCTTTTCGGACATGAATCGTGAGCATACATTTCTTGAATTACAGCTACAAGAAATTTACTTTATACAATTTTAATAGTTGCATTAAAGCTATGTTATATCTTGTTGTATCTTAAGCCACTATTCAACATTCAACATTCAACATTCAACAAACATTCACTATTCAACGGAGAAGGAGAAGTGCCATCTTATGCACCTGCAGCCTGTGTCTCTACCAAAGGAATTACCACGATGATTGAACAGACAGGTTTGGCATTTTGCCTTGACAAGGATGAATGTGTGAGCAGGAGGGAGCAGGTCAGTGTGCTTGTGTTCGCAAAAAAGGAGGCTAGAGGGTGCGGAGTGCAGACTAGTAAATTTGGCTTGCCCAAATGGGAAACTGCCAGCATTACACCTTTGTGTGAGATTGTACAGTATGTGCCTCACCCTGCGTGTGACGGTAGGATCTTTCTGGGCCTTGGAGATCAGGTGGCCCAGCAGGGTGTTGGTGCGGAGGAAGTGCAGGCGAATGTTGGTGGCCTTTGTGAAGTCTCGCAGCACTGGTGAGTAGGTGAAGTTTTTGGACCCTGGTCGACCGTTGACCAAAGACACCACAATCTGGAAAACACGACTTTATTTCACATAGATTGTTTCTGATAACTCATAAACTCGGTTTATGAGGCAATTTCGGTTTGGATTTTCAAAACTTCATATGATATTTTACCTCTCCATTCTCCAAAGGGACAATCCGTGAGTATTCTGTGGTGCAGAGCTGGTCATCATCCTTAAATATACGAGCATTGGGCTGCTTTCCGAACTTTTCAATACACTCGTGCTTTGAATCTGCCAAAATAATAATAATTTAAAAGTCTTTTTATCTCTCACAGTGTATTCCATTAATTTTCCATATTCAAGCAATGACAATAATATTATCACATAGATGACTTCTGTGAAGCTACTCTCTATCACCAATTAATACAACACCAGTCAGGTGCTCTCGTGAAGCGCAGACATCCTATATTTAAATGCAGCAGTAATTTCTGCCACTAGGGCAGTGGTTCTCAAACTGGGGGGCTGGGCCCCCTGGGGGGATGTTGCGCCAGGATGGTGCATTTGAGCAGACCTAAAGGTGCATGATTATGATTCATGTAGTGCTCTGATACAAGAAAGGCTATTTTTCTGACCTGAATCTTGTTTATTTCAGTTGCCTGTATTGTTAATGATTGATAAAAATAAAATCCACTTTTGCTGGGGTGGGGTGGTGTTCTTGGCTTCTGAAGGGGGCGTGACAGAAAACATTTGAGAAGTACTGCACTGATTAACTGAGTTACTCTCTTCATTGTTTAACAACCACTATTGCAAATGAAAATCAATCTGATATGATTCAGGCAGAAATGTTCACGGACAAGGTAGTGTATCAAAGTTTTATTCACATTGCGTTTAGTCAAGTTTGCTAACTTCCTTCCTCACTCTTTGATGTATTCTGTAGCAACTAGAGGGAAAAGGGGTGATATGATGCCACTAACAGGCCTCCAAATGAAACCGCTAACTTGAATGAAATCATGGATTGGATTGATTGAACGGTTTGAACATTGTAGAATCAGTTGGGATAATGAAGCTCTTGTCGTCATTCTAATTCTAGAGTAAGCTGCCAAAAGAATTGTTGTTGTTGGACAATCGCACACAGAAGGCAAACAGCACTTATCATGTGAAAATGATTCATCTGAATTTTTTATATGAGAATATAAATAATATTTTATTGCATTAATACCTGTTTTTGAACCATTGGAAGAGTAATATTCAGTTACAGTGTTTGTAAAAAAAAAAAAAAATAACTAAATAAAAAAGGAAACAAAGCATTAAAGCAGAGAACGGAGTGAAGAGTTAAAGAAGTTGAGTCTCAAAAGATCCTGAATGAACATGAACTTGGATCAAGCAAACATAATGTCAAAGAGTACCTCTGAGATTGTAAATCTGATGAGTCACAGCCGTGTCTCCTGGCAATCTGTGTTCACAGGTGCCTCTCAGATATTAGACATCATTACTTAGATTTGCCAACTCAGCCAATTATGAATATGTAGTCCAGTATGTTGTTCAGGTAATGGAAGGAAATGGTAATCTTATACAATAAGAAAAATCACCTTTTGGGACTTCAGCGGCTCCGTAGAATACTTTGTTGATAGTTTAGATTTTTTTTTTCCACACACACTTCCTGTCTTAAATCCTTAAGCAAGCTGATCAGTGTGCCAGGATTAAATGTGTGACAGTAAACAAATTTTAATCCATCTTTACAATGGGTCTTTTTCAGAGCAGACATTTTGACTTGTCATAGCAGGCAAGACGCAGGTGTAATTAATAACTACAAATAAAGGCTGCATTCTGTTCACAACAGCCAGTTCCGGGGAACTGTTACTGTACATGCTAGATTTCTGGCATGGCTTAGCGGGCCATTGTTAACGTGATTAGTTCCACCTGTGCATTTCCTTACATAATGAGTCAAAATGTCTGCTATAAAAAAGGCCTATTTTCAAAAAAAATCTGCTAATTATGATTTAACAACTGTTTATTACAAAGGCACAATAATCCTCCATATCTGTGTTTTTGACAGGATTTTGTTAATGAGTGGTTGCTACTGTTTGTACCGCACTTCTCTTTCTGTTTTTTCCAAACAGAAAACCTGCCACCAGGTGCAATGAACAAAAGGTGTAAAAGTGTCCCTCAACTGGGGATGAGCTAAATCACTATTGTGTTATTTAGTCGACAGTAGAGAATAGCAGACATTTATTTATGAGAATGATTTACTTAAAAAACACAAACATGCATTCAAGATTGGGAACTGGTAGGTTATATGTGTAAGCATTATGGGCTGATGTCCAGCCCATAATTTGACCAACAACTCCAGAGGAAAATACAATCATATTGTTTAGTCATTTGAGTCATAGCACAAGTAATTAGGCAGTGTGCAGGAAGTGTTTTGTTTCTTTTTTTAAGAACCCAATAAAAACTAAAACATTACAAAACACAATTACATGGGAACTTACGTGCAAAATACTGCCAGGGGGTGAAGGTTCTTCCGTTGTCTACCGAGCGCTCCAGCACCCAGAGGTCAGGACGAGGTGAATTAGCGAACTTGATGAGGACGTACGCCACATGGAAGAGCTAAAAACCAGAACACAATGAACAGGCTAAACAAAAAGCAGTCACTGCTCTGAACGGAATTTGGCATAATGTTGTAGTTTCCTGTGCTGTACTTTGAGTTCTATCAAGTCAGCCTCCAGTCTTAGCCAGTCTTGACAATACTCTTATTTCCTTTCTTGTGAAAGCTAGGGCACAACAGCAGCTTGGTTGTATTTCTGCAAATGATCGCTATAGAACTAATGACTTTATTGAGGATTTAGCCATTGCACAGTATCAAGCTCAAGGCTTCCTGCTCTGAGTTTTTATTCGTGCAGCTTGCCTTCTGTGTGGCCATACAGCAAAGTACAAACAATGCACCAACATTTGTCAGCACAGACTCAATAAAATTGGTGCAGGTGCAGCCAGGTTAGTGAAAAGAAATCAGCTAAGCCCACTTAATTCACATCTGTTCTCTGAACTCTCCATCTCCACCTCCCATCAGAATATACCGTCCATACAAGGGCAGAAAAATTATGTCAATGATTGTTTCTGCCAACACTGAGCTTTCTGTCAGGCTCATGACGATCAGAGCTGTATGTTTCCTTTGCAGTTCATCAACATCCTCATCAAGCCCTAAAAGCGGGTGACTTCAGCTTGGCTGAACATCGTACAATGGAAATTTATCTGCGGTAGTCAAAGCTGTCTTTGTTATAATCTGTCATGGACTTGGTGTGGCTTGGAATTTAAACCCTGTGACACCAACATGCATGTGACACCTGCAGTGTCAACAAAAAGCCTCACCTACACCTGACCACCACACCCATCTTGTTTTTGTGAGGCACAGTTTATCTCAATTTCAGTGCTGGCGTGGATCCTAAAGCAACATTTAACCTGTTTCAAAAAACAGGGTACCGCAGGCATATTAACTAAACTTATGACAGCTGCCCTCAGGACTGAAGTGATGAATGAAAACTGTACTCAAAATATTGTGTGTGCCAATACAAGAAATTTCTATAGACTTCTATTTGAGAAGGATGAAGGCAGGCTTACACTCGTCTAGCATCCCTCAGTGACTTGATTAAAACCCCCGTGGGCATTTGAAAAAGTCAGATTGCTAGCTCTCCTTGCGTGAGGCAGGCAATTCTAAGTTAACAATCATATCAAAGCCAAGTAAAGTGCGGCAAAGGCTCTGCTGTGGAGTCATGGACTGTGTCAAAAAGGATGCACAGGTATCTTGATGGACTTCTCGCCCGAACCCTGAAAGTAATGGCCTCAAGTAGCTCTTGAGTTGATGAATTGTGAGAGAGTTCGGAGGTTAGCTAAGCTAACTTCTCTGAAACTATCAAAAATTCCTAATAACAAACAACAAAATCATGAAGTTGCTAATAACCTAGAATAGCATTTTTGACTGTCCTTCAATCACCCTTGCCATTGCGCAAAACAGAAAGAAAAAATAAAATAGCTTTGAACGCCTCTTTCTGACCTAAACTTTGAATGGGGTGTGTCTTGAAATTAATCAGAGAAGAATTCCACCTACATGCAACAGGATGTGCAAAAAAAGATGAAGGGCACATGCAAACAAGATGTGGGCCGTCACCCAGCTATAAACAGAAGCAAAGCTTTTCCAGAGGAGCTGCCTTCTATCAATATGCTGGTTCTGCTGAGGACCAGCAGGAAGTTTAGTTCACATGGGCTGGGATGACGTAAAGGGAAGACTGGGGAAACGGAGGCAGCACAGTGAGATGGAGGGGAAGGAGGGGGGTAAAAAGGGTAGAGGGATGGCTAGAGACGTGCTGGCTGGCATGCAGACCCATCTCAGATTCCAAACATAGTGCCACATTCCCCTTCTCTCCTAATGCCCCCAAAGCAGAGCATGCCACTGCATTCAGGAACCTGTCACTGGCAGCAACGCACAGCAGTGAAAATCTTCTCCACCGTTTGCGATGGGTACAGATAAAGATGGTAAATACAAGTGATTCTGCCATGTCCCAAAAATAACAATGTACTTTTTTAATGATAAAAAAATTCAGTTATGGTTCTGTCAACATGTGGGTTCTCTGAGGATTTGCATCAGTGTATCGTCAATGTGAAAGATAATTCAAGCTTTCCTTTGTGGTCTAGTGAATAGAGCTTGGTATCATTAAAAATAGCTGTGCCAATATGATAACTACGAATCTGACAAAAGTATTTGATGCCAACCTTTTGGTACTCAAGGAACCAAAAATGATATTGTTCAGTATTTTGTCCATTGTACAGATTCAAAAATAAGTGTGTACACACACAGCTTGATCTTGGAAGACAGGGCCTGTCCTGGCACGGCTTTCCTTAACTTCAGCCCTGTCTCTCCAACTGTGCCCTGCCAGTCTAAACACAAACTCTTGAAATATGTCCAGCACCTACGTATTGTTTGCATGGAGCATGAAATATTGTGATGGCATGCTAAGCACATCAGAACAAGATTCCAGTGTCGTACAAAGACATGAAACAGACTGACATGGTTGTGGCAAAAACACTTGGAATAACACTTGAGCAGAGCCATCCTCCCTGCCCCTCCCTGCATCTGCAGCCTCAGGCTTTAGACAAGAGTGTCATACCAGGGGGTTTAGTGTAAGAGGCTGTGGGTGGGTGTCAAATAGGTCAGGGGTTGAGCGGTGACAGGTATGGACTGTTTGACACCTATCCCTCTCTGCCTTCTTACTCCAACTCAAATTCCTGACCTTGACCCCCTATAATATTGTCACATATACAAGGTATAAAGTATCCAGAACTCCTCTAACCTACTAATTAACACGGCAGCACAAAACAGTCAACCAAGTCCCTCATGACCAAACACCATTTTAACAACACTCTTTCAATATACTTGTAGCAACGTGTAAATGCATTTTGACAAAACAGAGTCACATTCTTCCACCACTGTGTGTTTTTGAGTGTGTTATTATTTCTGGATTATTGACCCCTGACAGTTGTGTGTGTGCGTGTCTGACAGCTCAGGAGTGATAAATGTGCACCCTTAAGTGTGAATTGCAACAGCACTGCTGCCTCCACACAGAAGTCCTGCCCTCTAACTTCACACATGTCTGTGTTTTCCTACTTACAAAAAGCCCTGATTGTGCAACCCTTTGCCAGTTACTCTCGTTGCTGTGCCTGCCACACGGATCTCTTCAATTATAATCTGTTTTTGTTGATCAAATAAAGTGTATTGTGGTGGAAGTAACAAAGTACATTTACTCTTGTTACATTAACAGTGGTGTTTTTTGTGTACTTGTACTCAGCTATTTATTATTTTTTTCGATGCATTTCTAGTCGCCTGAACTACCTCTGGCTTCTTGAGCAGTGGCTCTACTCCAAGTTCATTATGGATGACAGAGCTTCCAACCCTATCTCTAAGGGAGACGCCAGCCAGAACCCATTTTGGCCGCTTGTTTCCGCGATCAAGTTCTTTCAGTCATGACCCAGCCTTCACGACCATAGGTGAGGTTACGAATGAAAATTGACGGGTAGATTCTATTCTGTAACACAATAATGCCGTCTATTGAAATGTAATTTATTGATGGTTTGGACATTAGGGCTTTGTATGTTGACATTTAATGCTGTTTTGTAGACTAAAATGTAACACAATTTTACACAAGTACTTTTACTTGAGTCCTATTTCTTTAAAGTAACAGTGCTTTTATGAGAGTATAATGTTCTAGTACTTTTGTCTAAAATCTTGTATCTAATCTTATCTAATGTTAAACTGGCAGGAGATGTAAGCTAGCAAAGTAACATCAATAAATACATTTTCAGCAAGTGCATTCAAGAAGCAGATATTGAATACCCTAATCCCAAAATCCAACCACAGGGCACCGCATAGCCAAGAATAAACATGTACACTGAGATCAGAATCCTGACAGATAGAAGCCATCTGAGCGAGCTCCTGAGTGTCTGATGTGAGAGCAGAGGAATGCAATTCAAAGGAGAGGAGGCATCACAGTCTGTTGGAGTGGATCAGCCTTGCCAAACCGAGCATACTGCAGCCCAGCGGAGCAGTTGCCGTCCTGTTTGTAACAATGCAATGTACAACTGTTTGTCTGTGTGCAACAGGTGGGCGGGGGAAGGGGAGAGGGGTAGTCTGGTGTAATTTTCTCTGTCTCCATGACAGAATTAGTTATATGGTAACAATAAAAAGCTGTCCAAAAGTCCCAAGAGAACTGTAGGTGTAAAAGAAAAAATTCAGTATATTCAGGTTTCTACTTGTTAGCAATCTTCCCATTCTTCACAAAATTCTGAGGCACAGCTGCTAAAGAATTGTCTGTTGGCTTTGCTGCATTGAACGCTACACGTTAGCTTATTAAAGAAATGTCATTATTAAAAGCTTTACAGAATCTTAAGAAGCCAGGCAGAGTTCAAAATGGGCTTTAACATAAAGTTTATAGCATCAATGTGGTCAGGATTTGACAAGCAAGTTAGGTAGTAATAATTCTGTTTCAAATTATTAAATAATATACTGTAATTTCTAACATAAGATAATCATAAGATAAATTATGAATATTTACTACATTTGGTTTGAGACCCAAAAAAGATCTTCTTTACTCAAAAACCTTGAAATTTCAGCACAAAATATAATGATTCTAGAGTGCAATATTTCAATACAGACTATTGTAATATCGCAAGATTATCCTAATGCAATATGTCCACCTCTATCGATGACCTTAATTGAAGGCATGCATATGGGTGCACTACTGTTCATGGAACAGCCCTCTCAAATGGGTCTAGGAAAACTCTTGCTCTCTAACACATCCCATTGCATCAGTGACTGCGTCAGTAAACCTGTGACCAATGATTAGCATTTCCATGTCTGAACTGATGAAAAGGTGAGTAGATCCCACGTCAACCTCCACAAGCTTTTCCACATCAAAGCTCCAGATTTAGGAGGAACTGCTGTCCAGCAGTCACACATGATGCACTCCTCAAGCCAGACTCCTATACTGCTAACTAGCACGAGGTGGCTGTTAGTGGAGTAGTAAATATCTGCTGGGTTGGCGTGGCGCCTCAGGCAGCCTGGCTAAAGTCAGCTACTTACATCATCTCCATCGTCACCACAGCAATAGGGACATGCCAACAGCCAATCTTGTCACTAGGGTCGGACTGTGCCAGCTGCACTGTATGAACAAATATTTTTTTATCAAGTATATACAGCAAGATAAAATTTTTAACAGCAATTTAATTTATATTTTTTGTATCAAATTCAAAACGCATGACATCTCCATTAGGATTATACATACTGTATTAACACACTCCACATTATTTACACACACTTAAACACCAATGACACAGCAACTTGGGGTTCAGTTTCTTGCCCAAGGACATTTCAGCATGCAGACCAGAGGAGCCGCCGATCTTCTGATTAGTGGGGAACCGCCACAGCCACCCTTTCATTTTAAAACAGTTTGTCCTACAGACTCAGACATAAGATCATGCTTGGTTGTATCTGAACATCTACTCAGGAGGACTGATGTCAAGGGAAAACTGAATGTTTTCAGTCTGAGATTTGTTTGTTTGTGTGTGTGTTTGTTTTCTGTTCAAGTACTTTCTCACCACCAAATTACACCACCACTCCATTTCTATCCATTTCTCTAGTGAAAAAAGAGAGCCAGGTCACTTTCAGAGAGGAAAACGAACCAAACCTTTATTAGAGTCTGAGCGTGCAGAAAGGATGTCATACAATACAGTCTAGAAGAATTCTAACACAAAAGGATGCCATGGCTGCAAATAAAACATTCAAACCTGACAACTACGGTGGGAGGGAGATCCCTGAGAGAGGGGATTCGGTTCCAGGAGAATATCTCTAAAATTGAGTTCTTGGAAGCTTTGTCTCTTGACGACTGCAGAACTGTGAGCAGTCCCACAGCCATTGCACTAACCTGAACCAAATCATTCCAGTCATCCAACTTTAGCTTTCAAAATCTTGTCCTTATTCACATCCCCTAAAAAGTGAAAATTCCAACACAAAGGCCGGCTGAGGAAATAACTCATAGATAACAAACAAGATGTTCTGCAATGTGCCCATTTAAATCCACAAAAACACCACACAAAACCACAAAATTAATCCACAGCCTTAATTTTAAAATAACAGTTTAATCCAGCAACTAATCAGAACTTAATTTAAATAAAAAAACATCCAATGTTCAAACACTGCCTGACCAACCAATGAAAGGCAGCTCAGTCTCATCAGATGGGAGACAGGCAGTAAGCCCTGGTATGTTTGCTTCACATGGTCTACTCTGGGCTCACTCAGGCAGATAAGCACATGTGGTCAGGGCTCCTAAAATACATTCCCCAGAAAAAAGGAGTGACTGGCAGTATGATATGTGGTGTAAATGTTTACCAGAACACTGCCTTACCTACTGTGCCCTGTAAATAGTTTAACAAGGTAAAAAGTTCCCAGAAAGTAGCCAGTATTTTTTGGTGGGGACATAAATATCTACTTGACATGCCAGTTTCACTCATTTTGAGCCAATTAAGTAAACAAGCCATTAATGCCAAACACCATCTTTATCTATAAAGGAGCCAACTGAAGATTACTGAGGTTTGCTGACTCAAAGTATGATTTGTAATGGGTCACGGGTCAAAAGTCGGGCATTGGCCCGACTGAGTCAGAGGAGATTTCTAACCTGAAGGCAATTTAGAGAGTAATCTTGTCACTAAAAGCACTTAGCCTTTGGGCTTGTTAATTTAAGTAGTACCAAGATATGAAGATAGATCGCCTGAATTAAAACAAGAATAAGCATACATCATCAGCATGCTAACGTGCTCACAATGACAATAAAAAAATGCTGGTGTTAAGCCGCCATACAGGCTAACATGTTCACAAAACACAAAGCAGCCTAGTGGCTGATGGGAATGTCAGTTTTTAGTCAAAAACCAAAGTAATGGACAAATTCAACTCTTTACCTGATGATCAGCAAAGTTTAACAATTCATCCGAGGGCTGGGCAATAAAACAATAATGATAATTATCACAATATAATTTTCCTCAATAGCAATATAAAAATGTTCAAAAAATGTTTGATTTAATTCATTTGAATTACGAACAAATTTCATAACTGTTTTGAATGTTCTAGATCAGATATGTTAAGTGATCCACTGTTTGGAAAGTGTCTGTCATGTTCTGGCCATAAAGAACAGTCTAAAACCACAATTAACCATCTGGTTTCTTCAACTTTCACTCAGGAGCAAAAATCTGCCTTTAAACTTGAAAGAAATAATGATCTGACTGATTTCTCGTGATAATTATTGATATCAAATGGTATGAAATTTTTTACCAAAGTGGTAGGCCGACAGACAGACAGACCAACATTGCCATCCCTGGAGCGTGCATTTAGGGTTTCTTTGTAATAAAGCTCAAAATTGTATTTTATGCCCAGCTTTGGAGTAATTTGTCAGACAAGCTATTGAGTTCACTTTAAATCATATTCGTCTGGCTTTAAACTTGGCAGACCATGCTTAAACAATCCTCTTCACAGAAAAAATGGAAACAGCTACGTCAAAAAGAGTCTCTCTCTTTGAACCTCATCATTTTAACATAAACATCAACTGTGCTATTATCTAGGTGTATCTACTGAGAGAGAGAGAGAGCTATGTAGATAACAGCAGAACAGCCACCTGCGTTGGTCTTGAAAGAAACCACAAAGACATGGTCTAGCCCACACATTTCATTGAGCAGGATAATTTATCTTGTGTATATGAAAAATTTGAAAAATATCTACAAAGCTATCAAAGTTTCACATGGAACAGTCAACAATGTGACAGCTTTAGTGGTGTCTCATAATGCATTTGTAGGGTGGGGCAGAGCAATAAAGCACTCCAGAAGGCAAATAAAACAGTTATTTAAACTCAGGAAGACCCCTAAAGAAAACCTCAGTTTCTCTGTTCCTCACACACACACACACAATATTTCTTCATTTAACACATTAGAATATTTGAGTGCTAAAACAACTATATACTGTATGTATACTGCTTACAATGCAATGGATGGTGGCAGGTGAGCATAGTTTACAGCCTTGGTGGTTGCATCAGATGCCATGAAAAGAAAAATGTGTGTGTGTGACAGGTGTGTATGTGTGTGTGTGGGTGGGGTGTGTGTGTGTGTGTGTGTGTGTGTGTGTGTGCGTGTGTGGTTGTGGGTGGGTGTGGGTGCGGTTGTGGGTGGGTGTGGGTGTGGTTGTGGGTGGGTGGGTGTGGGTGTGGTTGAGGGCACGGTGTTGTGTGGTTGGTAGTCACCATCAGAGATCTAGCCATGCTCTTTTTAGCACGCCGTAATGCAATAATGCTGCTTTCCCGGCTCCCAAATAAACTGAGCATTACCACGTATTAAAGTCAGACATCCCTAAAGGGCCTGCATGTGTCCATCCGCTTGTAAGTGTGAACTATATTTAGCCGTGTAGGGTCTTTGCTCAGCTCAGTCTGTCTAAAAACAGAGATAGAAAAGCCCACACCCATTGTCTGACACGGTGCCTACTGGGAGCCAAACATAGAACACGTGTGGAGAGGAGCTCTTTTGTTGCTCTCTTTTTGAAGTCTACTCCAAAACTAGTCAGAACCCAACTCACACAAGTGGTCCAGGCCTCCACCTGCACTCACTGATCCTTAATCCTAAGGAAGAATTCCTCTCTTTCCTCACAGTGGATAACTGAGCGTGAGGTGCAATTTTATGGGCCGTGAGCCAAACTCCTGCCAGAGACACGGGTCATGATGGAAGCATATTCGCTGGCCAAAGGGGCGTGAATCTGATTTGTGGCAAGCTTCCAATTGCAGCACATTATTCACATGATCACTGCTGGTTGAGGTAATGGAGCTCAAACTGAAAATATAATCGTATGACACCTTTGGAATATTTGTGAATGAACCAGCATGAGTCAAACAACTTTCTGCCGAGCATATCCAAAACAAACCAGCAGCAAACCGCAGCACTGAAGAGGAATGTGGTGCCAAAAATCCTGCAATTTCAAATTTCACACCAGCGAAGGTGCTCTGCCACCTTGCACAAATGACCTAATTCATTTCACAGCAGCAGAGCAATGACCAAAGCAGAAAACACTTTCCTTCTCTTCCCTCTGTAACATCCAGGTGCTATATTTTTCCCACACAGCAATCATTATTCACACTGCAGGTAGCAGCAAGTAAACAGATGTTCATAGAGGAGTAAGGTATGATAATCTCACCTGCCCAAGGTCCAGGGTAACATTCACCTCGTTGTAGCCCAGTCCCCTGGAGAGAGGAGGGCTCTGCCACCACCGCTCTGTCCCATCAACGGCGTAGGTCGCCGGGTGGGCTTTCTTTGGGTCCATGGCATTGCAGTAGTCACAAAACTGACCCTAAATGGTGTCAAATTGTTGTTAGTCAGAAACATACACACCCAGATAATTGCAGCAAACTGTACAAGTTTTATAATGGAGACAGGCACTGGCATATGACTAACCAAATATGTAACCTAAAGCAGCTTTATTTATTTAACCTAATGCAAATATGAAAAATATTGCTGCCACAAGCAAATCTTATAAGTTTAGGGAAAGGCTTTTGCATGTCCATGCCAAACTGCTGCTCTAACAGTAATGTAGGGACTTTCAGAAGAACTCCTGAGGGGACAAGACCATTTGAAAGGGCATTTCCTTTAGAAAACTCAACAATGGTGTAAAACTATACTGGCAGTTGTACAAATTGGTCTGGGCGGTTTTAATTGTATGAGTTTTTACAAAGATGCAGACGTTTTTAAGGGGCCATGTTCATAAAAACAGCTAATTATACTTTCTGTCAATAGTATGACCTATGTATTTAATAAACTTACTGTTCAGTACATGTATACGATTACAATGTTATTTCATATTGCAGTGCATACATATTGTTGTTATTCATGTGTTAAACACGGACATCGCACCCAGCTTGTTCTTACCTGTATGTTTTGAGTAAGAACTCCGGTGGTAGGTCCTCCGACAAGTTTACAGTATAAATCATATTTCGGTGCCCCAGCCGCATCCTGTCCGCAGGTTGCTGTAGCAGAGATAGTAGCCCCCTCAGCGAGGTTGAAATACGGAGGACTCAAACTAAAACCTGTTAAGTCATTAAACGTTTCTTGTCCATCTGCGTCCCTGAAAAGTGTTACTGCAAATGTGAAAAATACAGCGAGGAGATGAGCTCCTCTCATCCCTCTCGCCATGTTCCACATTAGAGATCCCAAGTAGATGCTGAGAGCAACCCGCAGCGTACAGGTCCTGTCAGCTATAGATCTCCATAAAATGCGCCTAAACTGCATTACGCGCGAGTTACGCGCGAGGCTCTTTCAGTCGCGTCAGATAATGTCAGCGACACCGCTTTAAGTTGATATTCTACTACTGACAGTGTGCTCCCTTTCCGCCGCATGTTTCCAAACTAAACAACGCCAGCTTTCCGTCTTCCTGACCAAACTGTGCGCCACAGTGGAGCGATCGGGTGTCAGGCTGTCGATGGTCTGAGCTCGACTCTAATCCACTCAGTGGGGCCAAAGGTCCCCTATCACAGTTTAGCCTACACTGCGTTTCTCAGAAGCACGCATTTCGTCCGTTTCCTTTTTTTTTTTAACACTACAAAACTTTCTTACCTACAAATTTTAAAAAGATATGCTATAGGCCCCAAGAGTCTTTTATGCGCACAGTTATCATTTGCAGAAAACCTTTTTTTGTAGGCCCATTAGCCTACATAATTCAACAAATCATCATCATCATCATTTAATCATTTAAAAGAACTGCTTTGATAATGTTGCTGCGTGTCATTTAAAATAACCACAGTGTTGTTAGTCACTGTGAGAAAAAATCTGCAGTGTCTAAGGCTATTTGAACTGGTTGCCACTTACCCATAAGATTCATAAGATGAATGCAAAACTAAAACCAAAACTTCTATACATGCTGTATAATTTGATTTTTAATGAACAGGCCTACATGATATCCTATTTATATAATTTCATACGCTTTGATATTGGAGCCCCACACATTAAGTACCCCACCTGTGGGCTTACGGGTTCTTAACACTATTGACCCTTTAAAATTATGTTGTGGCGACCTCTAGTGGCGCCGATAGTCCTCACACGGGAGAGTACATGCACACAACTGAAGTCGCAGGGCTACGTACTGTGTTTACAAGTAAAACAACTCTTTTCTGTCTTATTTTACGCGTCGTGTTGTCAATTATGTAGGCCTATGTCTATTGCCCCCCCACCACCCACCCACACATACACAGACCAAAAAAAAAATGATTCTCAAAGCTTGTAATTAAGAATGAATTATATGTGGGTGAGGCTATGAAAACAATACCTTTGCGGAGTGCGCTGTATTTGTTTGTGGGCACGACAACAACGTTGTGACTCACGGCTGTAGGGTTTCCGCGCCCCGGCATCGTTGCCATTCCTGTGACTGGGCAGTCTGCGTTTTCTTGAACGCATGTGTCAGTGCTAAGGGAGTGATAAGCAAACAGGAACTTGTTGTGCAGTGACACACGACTAAGTAGCCTAAACGAAACAAGACAAGCAAGGATCACGGGCTGGCTCTGTTGTGTTGTTTATTCTCACAGGACTCCGCATGGAGCCAACAAATCTACAGGTAGGATTAACTTAACTTTGTATTAGACTGGAAGCTACGCGGAGGCTATGGAGTGAATAAAGTGTAGTAATAAGATAGGAACAAACTCACCGAGTGTTGCATGCAATCTGACGGGTTTCACTTTGACAGCTTAATTTTTAGTTTTTCTAAAGGTAGACTATCTTAATCCAAACTACTTCCCGTGTTTTATTAAACTATAAGAGAATAGGCAGGTCTTTGGTCTTATCTTTCAATGCAGGACATTTTGTGTCAATATTTATATTATGAGCTGACTAAACTCCATCACTGACCCAAAATAGTGAATCACATCAGGTCCACACATTCAATGGCAGTTTGTTAAATGTTTCGTTGACTGTTAATTAAATGTTTTAACCAGGGAATGTGGCCAGTTATAAGGTCTGATGTTTTTTTACATCCTAGATATGCAGTGCAATTCTCTTTTATTGGTGAAAATAGCAGTGGGGGTGGGGGGTCAGAGTTTACTCTTACTTTGTTACACAAAATCACCATATAGACTAAGATAGTTGGACACAGACAACATTTCAGCAGCAAATGAGACACTAAAATCACATCAAGCTTGTCACTTACAGATATGAACTGACAGTATAATTAATTGCTTATTACTTAGTAGACTGACCATTATACTCTATAAAAAGTGAATACTGATAATCCCCATGAGCGAATATTTGGGATAAACCTTCTTCACAGTAGATATTTTGACATCTGGAAGCATGTACACTATAAATTGTAAACAAGGTACACTATAAATTATTATAATGACTGGATTATCAAAAGTGGGGTTAATAAATTGTATGTTGATCGGCTACTATATCAGTTGATTTATCATTTCAGAGCATTATAAGGAATCATTCTGATTTTTTAAAATATGATCTTTTCTACAAACCGACATTAACGACAACACTATGGTATATTACTTTTGATTGGCTTAAGTAGATTTATGCACTCACTGAGTTTGAGGGTTTCTACAGACTCACATAGTGATTTCAGTACAAAGATAAGGAATGACAGTATCTGAAATATTTATAGGCTACATTTCCTGCTCTTTCAGAAAGCTATTGCCATAGCACAGAAGGCCTCAGAGGAAGACCAGGCTGAGAACTATGAGGAGGCCATCCGCTCCTACCAACATGCTGTCAAATACTTTCTGCACATTGTAAAACGTGGGTCAACATGGCTGGAAACAAAATAATCTCACACAAAGACACCACACCTACAATAACTGAGACATTTTAAGGTCAAGGGTGTCCATCCCTGTCATTGCCTGATGGAAAAATAGCATCTACAAGTGAAATTACTTAAATTTTAATGTTTTTGTTTGTGTGTCTATATCTCAATATTAAGTGATGCCGCTCTTCCTTGTATAGACAGTCTATCAAATGTCTGTTCAGAATGGTATTAAATGAATGGTCTCCTCCCTATCAGGTGAACCCCAGGGTAAAGATGGCAACCAGAAGATCAGAGAAAAATGTAAACAGTACCTGGACAGAGTGGAAGAACTACAGGACTACCTAGTGAATAAAGAGGTTGCTACAGAAATTACATACACTATATAATATTTGTTTTTACAAATATGAATAATATTTCAACGACAGGGATAATAGTTCATTCATAGTGTGGTGTTTCATTTTGGTAAACCCATAGAGGTAACTAACCTAAGACATGACATAAGAAACCACGTGAACAGCAAACAAAGAAAGAAAATAGTAAAATAAGACTAGCGGGGGGAAAGTAACAATCAGGTCCAAAATGGTCCCCACCCTTTACTTTACAGTTTAAAAATACAACCAATATGTTTTTCATTGTAAAAACGCAGCACTGAACTGCGTGCTACGTCTTGACGTCATCACATTCCGTGCACGCGAGTATCGACTGCTCAATGCGGAAGTTCCCTCCTCGATCTTACTTGGGAGCGATCTAAGAAACGAAAACAAGCCTCATAAAAACCTCGATTATCGAATTAAGAGTCAACTCGTAAGGTTACATTCTAAAGCAGCGTGTTTGAAAGTTGTTTACTCACGAAGGTGTTCCATTAATTTCGATTACTGGACAAGTGACCAGCCCTTATGGCTACCAACAGTAATTTACAGGTAAGTTGGGGACCAGCACCAGAGCTGGACAAAACTGGTAAATAAGCTGATTGAAGTGGTTCACATGTAGAGCTAAACGGCAAAAGTGTACTAGCTGTTGAGAATAGAAGAGTCTGGCCAAGTTTTGTTGAGTGGTGTTCGGTATAAAAGCCCCAACGCTGTAAAATAGCGTGATGTTAGCTGCTAATTAGCATGGTTAGCTAACTTAGGCATGCATTCGACAGTACACTTCTGGTCTTCAAGAAGGCCACCAAAATATGATATTGCTGTCTACATATAATATAAAGGTTGGTCTTATCTGTTGTCACAGTACAGCAGCTGTGGCAACTATATAACGTATAAAATAGCGTGAGCTTGTGTTGATAAACAAGGTAGCTAGTGGGATTAACATTGCTAGCTAGCGAACTGGTAATTTGGGTTTTTAAAAAAGACATCCAGTTCAATGAACAAGTTAACGTTACCGTTACAAGTTGTGTTTTAGTTCAACTTTATAGCTACTTTAAACAAAGGGAAGTGAAAAAAGTGTTTTCAAATTCGGCTTCAGTCCCTCCTACTTCTGTGTGCGTAACGTTAGTGTCATCACACAGGACAGGTGTCGCATTATATCTGATCTTTACATATAGTAGATTTCAGTAAGTGTATATTAATTTTTCAGTATTTATCCCTTTTATTCTGTTAATTTCATATATTTTTGTGGTCACATTTGTCCCTTTGTGTTGTTTATTTTGATTGGCTGATGGTGCTTTCATAGCCTGTCTGTTTTCTTTATCATAGTACCTAAAGTCATCATAACCAACATTGTTATGTGTGTCTGTTATTTTAGAAAGCCATTGATCTTGCCAGCAAGGCGGCTCAGGAGGATAAAGCTCAGAACTACGAGGAGGCTCTGCGTCTGTACCAAGCTGCTGTTCAGTACTTCCTCCATGTGGTGAAATGTAAGGCAAAACACATTAGGTGCACAGTGTCCATAGTCTGATAATAACAATCTGATAATAACACTTGACATGGTTGTAGTTTGTAGGCCTGATTGATGATGGCTTCATATCTCTCAAAACGCCATGCAAGAATATTGAAAAGAAGTGTTTGATAGTAGATAAATTAATTGTTAGATGTGTTTTTTTCGCAACATGCTAACAGAAGGATGATGTATCTTTTGGGAACAAATACTTAAGCCTGCATTCATTTTTGTGTACTTTTGTTTTTTTTTTGTGCTTATTCCTGACAGATGAAACCCAGGGTGACAAAGCTAGACAGAGCATCCGGGCGAAATGTGCAGAGTACTTGGACAGAGCAGAGAAGCTGAAGGAGTATCTAAAGAAGAAAGACAAAGCTCCTCCCGCCAAGCCTGTCAAAGAGTCACAGTCTGATGACAAGGGGTGTGTTTATGGGTGGGGCAGTGGGGTGGTATCTGCTCTTGGGATGCCATTCAGACCTGGATGGAAGTGTTCCTTTTGATATACAGGAAAATATAGTAAATTACTTATTATTTGATGTGTAGAAAAATCTTATAATTAAATGTTTGTGTTTCCAGGAATGAAAGCGATGAAGGTGATGATCCAGAGAAAAAGAAGTTCCAAAATCAACTCTCAGGTTTGTAATACTCCTTTTGGGGACTATTAGGCCATCTGCAGGTTTTTTTAATCTGAATTGAGTTGTCGTAATATGTGTTGATTTCTTTGTTTCTGTAATAATTAAGGCATTATTTAGACTCAGTAATATACTATGTTATTTATTCCAGGTGCAATTGTTATGGAGAAACCTAACATCAAATGGAATGATGTTGCCGGTTTAGAGGGAGCCAAGGAGGCACTGAAAGAAGCTGTTATTCTTCCCATCAAATTCCCCCACCTTTTCACCGGTATTAAATCTTAAAAGGACTCAAATTGCTGATAGAAGCAAACATCTATTTGCATGGACAGTTGTGTCAGAGTGCAGTTTTTGGTGACATGTATATAGACTAAATTACCTTTTGGCTTGACTGGCAGGAAAGAGAACTCCATGGCGAGGGATCTTGCTCTTTGGACCTCCAGGTACAGGAAAGTCATATCTGGCTAAAGCTGTTGCCACAGAGGCAAACAACTCAACCTTCTTCTCGATCTCCTCGTCTGACCTTGTCTCCAAATGGCTGGGAGAGAGTGAAAAGTAAGTCATATTAACAGAAATCCACAAAAGCATGGTTTAAGCATAAACACGTACTGCAACCAGCAGCATGTTGCTATTTAATTTCTTAAAACACATCCCTTTTACTTCCCAGGTTGGTGAAGAATCTTTTTAGCCTTGCAAGGGAGCACAAGCCTTCCATCATCTTCATTGACGAAATCGACTCTCTGTGTGGCTCAAGAAGTGAGAATGAGAGTGAAGCTGCTCGCCGTATTAAGACAGAGTTCCTGGTTCAGATGCAGGGTAAGCCTGATGAGCTAAAACAAATGTTTGTAATTATAGGATTTTTCCCAGATTTAATCTGAGATGTAAGTGAATTTTTTTCAGAATTATTCTGTAGTATGCATAAACAGCCTGTGGGATCTAAAATGGCGGTTAAAGAAGAAAATGGATGTTTACGCACCAAGTGAAGCAGCCCTTTCAATTTAGTTTCTTTGTGCATTATAAATTTTCATTGGAATTATTATATATTATTACGTATAGCATTGCATGGGATAGACAAATGTATCGCCATTGAAACTAGAGCTGTGCTCAGGAGAAAATCATACCTGCAGTGGGTGGGTGTCTAAAAGGTGCTTTCTGGGCAACCTTTCAAATATTTGTGTGGTTGGGTCCCTCAGACCCTCTCAGATTCATGTTTTCTGGTTTTCAAAGGATTTGTTCCAGAGTAGGGCAGTGGAGAGACTCATCCTCTCTTTATTTCTCCCTTTTCAGTTATTACTGACTGAAGCACGAACCACTTAAATTTTAAATGAGCACTGAATCACATGGGGAAGCAAATAGATGCTGTGACGCTCTAAACAGAATCAAACTTTACAGCGCACGGATGCTGGTCACACCCATAAATAGATGTCAGAGCAGATATGCTCTTTGACAGGTCAGGGAAAAACACCTGTTGTGACATCACTGATTAAGGTGCGGCTGGAAGTACAACATGGTTTTTAGATGAACATTGACCTTATAAGTAAAGTTTAAATAAAGAATTTAACTGCACACCTGTAGTTCAGTAGCTACACTTCATATGTTATCCATCATAATGGGATTCATGATACGAAACATAAACATTGTCATATATGATGCAGTCCTTTCCAGTAGTCATGCAATAAATGATAACATTGGTGAAGGATGCTTATCAACAAACAGTATATATTGTTTTTTTTTTTTTATTTGTCAATTTTTATTGATGTATTACATGTTCAGTAACTTTTAAAGACTTACTCCTTGTATGGGCATCTGACACATCTCATCTTGTGATCGATTTAGCGTCCGCAATAAAACACTGTGGGAAACCACTAATAATAAACTTTCTCCAACTAAATGAAAACAAGACAGAAGTAATATTATTTGGTTCCCCTAACTTAATTGAGGAATTATCAAAAAATCTGGGCCCCCTGTCCATTAATGTAAAACCCTTTGCTAGGAATTTAGGGGTTTTCTTTGATTCAGCATTAAAATTTGACAAACATATAAACTCTGTTGTTAAAGGTAGCATTTTTCATTTAAGGACCATAGCTAAACTTAAACCTGTTCTCTCTGTAAAGGACCTAGAAACTGTCTTGCACGCTCTTATATCCTCTTGGATTCATTACTGCAATTCCTTGTGCTCTGGCACCTGTCATTCATCTTTATCACGCTTGCAGCTTGTAGCAAATGCAGCTGCTAGATTAACTGGTACAAGGAAGAGGGACCATATTTCCCCAATATTGGCTGTTCTTCACTGGTTACCAGTCAAATATAGTCGATTTTAAGGTGCTGTTAATTGTTTTTAAGGCGTTACATGGACTGGCTCCATCTTATTTTTCATAACTCCTAATGTTTCATCACTCGTCCAGACCCCTCAGATCATCAAACCATATCCCTCTTGGACATCCCACAGTCTCATATGAAAACAAAGGGTGACCGTGCCTTTTCAGTGGTGGCCCAGAGACTGTGGAATAATTTATCCTTGATTATTAGATCATCCCCCACCATTGTCAACACATCAACATATCTCTATTCGTTGGTGTTTGAGTCGGTTTAGAGGCTCATGTTGTTATTTATCTATTTTGTATTTAGCTATATTGTTTCTCTCTTATTGCTGTATGTCATTAATTGTTTGGCCTGTTTTAATTTATCTGTATTTAATTTTTATGTCTTCTACTGTATAACTTGACCAGAACTTTGATCAACTCTGGTTGTTTTTAAATGTACTTTATAAATAAACTTGACTTGACTAATATGCACATTTGCAATAATCAAAAATGTATAATTTTGAATACTGTCTTGTCTGTGTGAGTTACAATATGGTTCAAAAGTGCCAAACACAAGAAATCTGCTCATCCCATTTCCATATTTTATGGTTGCTGCTCTGTAATGTAATGTGTCAGTGAAAGCACCAAAGTGTTGTCATTTAGATGTTACGGTAAATACACAGTGCCTTGACTTTTTTTGTATTGCAGGTGTGGGAAATGACAACGAGGGAGTGCTGGTACTTGGGGCAACAAATATCCCATGGACCCTAGATTCAGCCATCAGGAGAAGGTAACTGTTATTACCTGATGAAAGATGTCAGAAACTATGTTGTCATTCACCTGTGCTCACTGTACACAAATAATACTTGCAGATTTGAGAAGAGGATCTACATCCCGCTGCCCGAAGAGCACGCTCGCGGCTTCATGTTCAAGCTCAACCTGGGCTCGACCCCCAACAGCCTCAGCGAGTCTGACTTTGTCACTCTGGGCAAGAAGACAGATGGGTACTCGGGCGCAGATATCAGTGTCATTGTCAGGGACGCTCTAATGCAGCCTGTTCGAAAGGTCCAGTCAGCAACCCACTTCAAACGGGTATGTATTTTAAAATCTCTGTTTTATGCTTCAGTGTAACGTGTTATAGTTTTGTAATTGTCACTTCTGGGTTTTAAAAAAAAAATAAGGTACGAGGTCCATCAAGAACTGACCCCAACCATGTTGTAGATGACCTCTTGACTCCTTGCTCACCTGGCGATCCCAACGCGATTGAAATGACATGGATGGAGGTCCCTGGGGAGAAGCTATTGGAACCTATAGTATCCATGGTAAGGATATAAAAAAACTAGATGGTATTATAAATGCATATTGGAGGCTTAACTCTAAAATCACATAATATATTTATTTTTTGTCTTTTCAGTCAGACATGATGAGGTCTCTGGCTAACACAAAGCCAACAGTCAATGAACAAGATCTGGACAAACTTAAAAAATTCACAGAGGACTTTGGGCAGGAAGGCTAGGTGGGATGATTGAGCCAAGCCAAACCAAAGGAATTTTGATCGTCTCTCTTTACTGTCCTTGTCTCGTTTTGTCTCTCTCTATCTCATAATTCTTAACCCTGCCTCGTGGTTTATGACAAGTGGGCAAGAATACTGCTCTGTATTGCCAATCTGAGTACCACACAAAGGGTAGAAGACCACGTTTGATCCAATTTTCACTATTGTCCAAAGACGATTTAAGACTTCCCATCCACGGCTGACCTGATAAGAGTCAATATGACATAGGGAATTTAGAAGATTGTTTGACTTGAACTAAAGACTTTATGTTGTAGTGAGCAGAATGCCCAAGCAACGTAAGGAAGCTAACGACAGACATACACAAGAATTATTGCAAACAACGCTATTGTAATCAAGATAATTTATTTTCAGACTTGTGTCCTTATTTTCCAGTCAGAATACATCTCATAGACTAATAAATGCCCCGTATATATATTGTCTATTTTATATTAAGAAAAGAGATGCATTTTATAGTGTGTACTGTACTTTGTGAAGTGTACAAATCTTGGGCTGGGGGAGTGAAGCGCGGCATGAGTTCATAGGATTTGTTGTGATGAAAAGTCATTGTTGTCTCAAGGTGGTGGGCGTTTTGAGTTTTGAGACCGAGATACTCAGGATGAGAGCTTCATTAGGCCCTGTGGAAATGATGGATTGTTTATCCAGTTTCCTAACAAATGACAATTGCATTTCTTTACTCATTTGTCATTTGAATTAAACACGGCTATTGAATCACCAATGGTGCCAGACCAGCATTATTTTACAAGTTTTCAAGGACTCAATAGCTTTGAATTGCTTTGTCACTCAGCTCATGGTTTCTTTTTCTTTTTTTTTTCGCCATCTACTGTTCATATTTTTCACTACTATCCACAGGCTTTGCTGAGTATCCTAAATACAAACTGCAAAACTAGGCCTTATATTAAGATAAAGTCACATTGCTAATTTTGATGGTGTTGAAGTTGGACACTGATGGCTCAGGTGGAGAGATCATCTTCTTGTATACTTTACAACATAGGAATGCATCTCCAAGCATGAGCTATATGTAGCCATAAGTGGCAGTGTGCACCATGTGCCTTCCAGAAAAGCTGCAAGATTCTTTTTTTTTTTTATTGGTTTATTTCTAAATTGGTCAAATTGCTTATATATACAGTGCTTTGTCACTACAACTAAGACATGTATAATACTTGCACATTTCATGTAAGCTCTTTTAGAGATTGTATACAACTGTATTCTTTTTCTCCTAAGGTGTGAAAACTCTTGTGTGAGTTATGATGGTGAACACTTCTTATTTTACTGTAAATGTCTATACATATAGCCAACTTTTGAGCCTTTTCGCTTTGAAGAGGTCACCCATGCATAAGGCTTTCTGTTTTTCATTTCCATAATGTAAATAAAAGTTATAGCTTCATCAAGAAACGCTGTTTACCTTTTTTGTATCAAAATCACTGCTCGTTGACAAGAATTTGCAATAGAGATGTAGGTTCATAGATAAAGAATTTAAACTAGGTAGGTTTGACCGTCTCTTGTCAGTGAACAATACCTGGTGGCTGTTCGGGTGGGTGTGAGTCGAAGCTAACTGAAAGGCAGATTGAAACGGATACGACGAATGAGGAAGCAGCACATTGCATTGTGGGAGTTGTTGTTGGTAGGCATTTAAGCAGCGTTGAGAGTTAAAGAAACGCTTTCCCTTGAGAACTACAAGTACCAAGTACGACCGTGAAGCGTACGTTTACAGAGCACAGTTAGATTTGTTTTGGTTTATGTAGACTGCGCTTTGTCACGGGGAGCCAAGGTCCACCGTAGTACTTTCAACTGACCGGTACACATTTGTGACTTATTGCATAACCCCGGAACAGCCCGTCCTCCGAGTTCTGTGTTTCACCACCCCCTTTCAGGGCCGTCTCTTGCCTTGTAGCTCCGTTATCGGACTCAGAAGCTGGCCTGCTTGTTAGCAAACAAGCTAACGATTGCCAGATTTCACCCATGTCATCTGAAGAAGGGTTGAGCTCAACGATCACGGACTGGCTTTTCATCAACTCCTGGTGGCTCCTTCTGCCATTCATCATGCTTCTTGTAGTTGCTGCCTTCATTGTTGCCTTTGTTTTGCTGTTGTACATGATATCGCCTCTTATTAGCCCCAAACCTCTGAAACTGAACGGGGCCCACGTCGTGGTAAGTGCACCAGAGTGCTAACTAACGTTTACTAAGCCAAGTTACCGTTGACAGTTTGACAACGTCCAATCATTACTGTAAGTTTAGCTTTATGGCTAGCTTCAAGTTAGGTCCAAAGCTAGCAGCAGTTCACTGAGTTTATATTTGAAAGTTACGACACGTAACGTTATGCCTATTACTGACGTTACAAGTACAACCAGTGAAAACTTTGAATTTATAATGGCAGTCAGGTGTCCGTTATGAGGAAACGCCCACATAATGAGTTTTGTAAGTAAATTTTTGCTAGGTTTACGTTGTAAACTACCAATGTAGTTTGACTCTTTTTATTATGCAGATGTAACACCATGACAAACCTGACTTGTAACATACATCTCTAACTTTTATTAAGTTGCATAACATTTTGGAAATATAATTACATCTTGCTTGTGAATTATAGGTCAAGTCAGTTTTATTTATGTAGCCCAATACGCCAATATTTGACCTTTAATTAATGCCCTTCTTACCTTTTTTTTCAGGTGACCGGAGGTTCAAGTGGGATTGGGAAATGCATTGCAATTGAGTGCTACAGGCAAGGAGCATTCATCACTTTGGTGGCACGGGATGAGGTCAGCACAAACCACATTCAACCAATCACTCCTTTGTGTCTAGCCTAGTCCCAGCCTGTTTGTTGTTAAAGCCAACTCATTTGATGTCAAACACAGGGAAACATTTTGCAAATGTGAATTGGCTCCATGTCAGGTGAAGAATGTGCTCCTCTCACATGCAAAATCTACTTTTAGTGTTAAACAGTTCACTTGCATGTGAGCATCCATGTTCTGAAGGTTCAACACGTTTTCATTTAGTTTTTAAGGGGAAAAAGGAGTCTACACAAGTTTTAAACAGATTAAACATGCACTTTTTCCCACAGATTAAGTTGCTTCAAGCAAAGAAAGAGGTGGAGAAATGTGCCATCAATGACAAGCAGGTATGTTTTTATTAATTATTTCAATAAAAGATGACTTTCAGGTATTGTTTTAAAGCACCTGTTATAACTGTATAGGTGTTCATATTGGCCATAACGGCTGATGCTGAAGATCATGTACAATTTACTTTCTCAGGTGGTGCTCTGCATATCAGTGGATGTTTCCAGTGATTATAGCCAGGTGGAAAGTGTGATAAAACAGGTAATCTTACCCTCCTTAGCAACAGTGGAACATCTCAGTGCTGAAGTATTGAAGTGGCTTTTTCCTTTCATGCAGGCTCAGGAGAAGCTGGGGCCTGTTGATATGTTAGTGAACTGTGCTGGATCATCCATTTCTGGAAAGTTTGAGGATATGGAAGTGGATCGTTTTAAAGTAGGTACCTGGGAGTGTAGCCAAGACACGGCCATTGTCTTGTTTATGTTCAGAAGTCAATAAGCTACTGCGAACTGTACTCAGAACAGTTGATAAAAATATTCCCTGTTCATATGAGTGATTAAAGTGTCAAAATAAAAAAGGATAATGTCTTATGAATTTCTCACACTCTGTTTTTAACATGTTAATTTGAGTTCATATGTTCCCAAGTTATAATTTGAATAATACCTAAGACACACAAGATTTTCTGGAGATTCTGGAAAATAGTGTTTTTTTTTATATTTAAAATATTTAATCATTCATTATTAACCAGAAGGAGGTTTGATTGCTGACTCTGTGTGAGATTTTGTTACTGTCAGAAAAGATTAAAGGGGTCAAATTACAAACTAAAACTTAGGTTGTCGAATGTGTAGCTATATTTGTGCAGCGCTACCCTGTGGATAACCATGGGATAATATGTGTGAACTCTGGACTCCAACAGAAACTGATGGAAGTGAACTACCTGGGCAGCGTCTACCCGACACGGGCCGTCATAACCACAATGAAGGAGCGAAGAATGGGCCGCATCATGTTTGTGTCCTCCCAAGCAGGGCAGATCGGCCTGTTTGGATACACTGCCTACTCCCCATCCAAGTTTGCCCTGCGTGGCTTAGCAGAGTCGCTGCAGATGGAGGTGAGGTTTTTTTTGCCCTCTCTCTTGAATACCCTTTTTCACAGATTTGCACTGCACACCAAGAAACACACCGCATTTGCGAGTCAACTTTGCAATGCGTCAAGTAAAAACACCACTTTGCTATTGAGGGTTGTTGAGGTGCTGGTGTAAATATTGTTACCAGGATTGGCAATCTATCAATAGGCCTGATAGGGTGCATTCATTCATTCATTCTTAATTGCATTGCTTTAAGACCTTTTTGTATCAAATGTTGTCATTGAGGTCAAAGGGTAGGACATAATGCTCAATGAGTGTTGCTGTTCTTCTCAAGATAAAGCCATACAATATCTATGTGACGGTGGCCTACCCCCCTGACACTGACACTCCAGGACTGGCTGAGGAAAATAAGACAAAGGTAAACATCTCTTTAAATAATAACCTCCTGCAATTTCACTTCCAGTTAACTTCCTTATTGAAAGCATTTTCCTTCTTTGTTCTTTCCTCTACTAGCCTCTAGAGACCAAATTAATCTCTGAAACCTCTGGAGTTTGCCAACCAGACCAAGTGGCCAAAATCATTGTTCGGGATGCAGTTGTAAGAAATCCGCTTCACCATCCACTTACCCACCACGCTTCTTGTCCAGTTTTAAACATTTAAGTAAATTTCTTCTGGAGGAGGATTGATAATCTGTTGTGATCTACCTGCCTTCTTTTTTTTTTTGCTCTTGCAGCAGGGGAATTTCAACAGCTCTGTGGGACCCGATGGTTACATGCTGTCAGCCCTCACCTGTGGAATGTCACCTGTCACCTCCATCACTGAAGGTCTCCAGCAGGTAAAGCCGCGTACATGTTGTTGTCACATTGACCGGATGTATTGTGCAATTTACAAATTCTAACGTCAGTTTCTCTTTCTCAGATTGTTACCATGGGATTATTTCGGACCATCGCCCTCTTCTACCTGGGCAGTTTTGACAGCATTGTGCGCCGCTGCATGATTCAGAGGGAGCAGTCGAAAGCAGCTGACAAGAGGGAGTAACAGCAGCCTTCCCTTGATCACAGCCCAGTGCCCTTCCTCCACCTTCTGGTTTTTAAAGTATGTAGGCTTTGTAAACCACTGATATTACAAATATCAGGCCTCCTTGCCTCCACTCGCACAGTGCTGTTCTTTTTTTCTCAAAGAAAGAAAAGGCAACAGATAGCCTGTCTGACCGGTTGTGCCAAATATGGCTTGAAGTTCCTTCCCACCAGGGGCTATAGTGAAAACCAGAATGGTAACTCTCACTTGTCATATTCTTTCATGTATGTTAAAACTAGGTCCACCTTTTAAGAATTTTAGGTTTCATGTAATAAGGCCCCTCCTCTCTACCTTTTCATAACACAAGCCTTTGCAGGCAAAGCACCTTCCTGTTTGACTGAATAACCTCTGTGTTTGAAACAGGTTGTGACCCTCAGCGTTGTTTATGCTGTGGAATGTTTTGTTTTTGTGCTCTGTGTGTGAACCAAGCCGAGATGTGATAAACCGCTTTTCAGTGATATCAGAGAGTGAGCAAGCGAGAGAAAGAGAGTATGTGTGATGTTTTTGATTTTTCAGTTTTACTAATGCAAAAAATTCCAAGAAAATATTAATATTCAGACATTTCAGATGCTGCGTTGGGGCAAAGATTTATGGGTCAACTATGTGTATGGATGTACATGTGTTTGCTGTGACTGAGCCAACCCCTGGCCTGGGAAGAGAAAAGCCATTAGATTTTATTGTCTCGGGAATAAACACACATCATCCCATCTTATTTCATTGGGGGGGGAAGCAGGTACTAATTCTATCGGTCAAAGCCATTAAGTCAAAAGATGGGGGAGTGCAGCACAGGTAATGTCCCTTTTCACCTGTGAATTCATTAAGTTCATTAATTTTTTTTGTTAATTAAATGTGGGAAAGGAAGCGTATCATTTTTACATGCAGTTCTATGTGTCGGTGCACATATTCAGCCACCCCAGTCAAGGTCCAAGTGCAGTCCATAATCTGTAGGGGTTGGTGCAAGTCAGGGCAGGGCGAGACTTGCTGGTTCGAGTTATACCCCTGCAGGTCTAGTGAGGGCGCTAGAGATTTGTTTTACACGGGCCAAAATAGAGGGACTAGCGTGGAAGTGTGATCCTAGTCCCTCTGATTTTGATCTGCTATCATGCACAGTTGGGACTTTGTCGCTCCCTGAAGGAGACAATATCGATTCCCTCCTGATTTCCACCATGCCTTGAAAATCTCGTATTCGCCATATGTTTTTCTGTATGTTTTGCATATAGAGGGAGGGAAAAGTACAGTGACTCTTGCAAGTCTTCCTTTAGTCTATCACAAATGGGGAGAATGTACTTTTATTACAAAGCGTACAAATCAGAACATAGGAGCATTGTTTTTTTTTTTTTTAAATACACCAATATTTGAATGCCAAAATTTATTGTAGTAATTTTTTTTTGTAGATGCATTGCATTTATTTGAGATTGATTTCGATGTTGCAACTCTGTTGATCTTAGAGTTAGGTTGTTGACGCTGTGGGGACCCATTCGAAGCCTTAAGACGTGACTACCGATGAAGCTGATGCTAATAGGAATGGACCTGTCCACAAAACAATGTGGCTTAACCCACACGTTGTTTACCAGTTCATTTAATACTTAATCTTTAAAACTTTCCAGTGTGAATGCCAGGTGTTTCAGTGTATTTTGTCAGTTTCTAGTCTTTGTATGACAAAAAATAAGTCTTACTGAAATCCAAGATATGAAAGTGAGAATGGATGACACGTGTTTGATGATGTTCTCATTCGATATTGGTTAAACGCATACTGTTCTGCACACGAGCTTTTCATAATTGTACATTTATTTTATTGGCAAGTTCTCTTTTACCTTAAGGTAGCAACACATAGTTGATAGAATATGTAGCCCATATAAAAGCAGTTTTGTTGTAACATTTTGTTTTAACCGTTTAAGCTATGCAAATGAAGCCTATGCTTACAGTATGTTTGAACATGAGGTCACGATTTAAGTTCTGTAACACTAGTTTCCCCTCTTCAGTGGTGTCACCGTCAGATACTTAAGAGTTTATAAGCATTGAATATGACAGTCATGTTGCACTCTTTTCGTTTAATTCTTCTTTCTTGCTTTCTTACTTTTTTTTTTCTGCCAAAAAACTTTTAACACCTTCACCTTGTGTGCCATTGAAAGAAAATGTGAGAAGTGGAACGTTTCTTTGTCTTATTTTCTTACATGATAAACTAAATAAATGCCTGTGAAGAAAAACTAAATATAATTCCTAGTCTTAATCCTTTAGTTTCAGTGTCTTAAAATGTCCTCTTGTCTATTTCTAAATTGCTTTTGATGTCTTTCTTTCTCACATATGTGTCTTTATGTGGCTGCAGACCTCTTTGGTGGAATTGCGGTTGAGCAGGGGTGTTGGAAATCTGTTTGAGGAGATGAGATTTTAATTTTCCATGAGGGAACTTTCCAGAGCAGCAACTCTCCCGGATAAGCACAATACAGGATTTTAAACCCGTTGGTTGTCCCATCAGAGAATAAGAAAACATGCAGGATAGATAGAGGAAACAAGACAAGGAATCAAAGAGCACAGGGAAACTGTATTCAGGTACATCAATTTTGTACTGCAAGGTTGGATCTCTATCCACAAGGGGGTGGCTGAACCACATCAAAGCAGCCCCTCAGCAGAATGGGATGGTCCTGAGCTTATTAACCAGGACTAAGAGCGTTCCTTGCACATGTCTGGGTAAACATGGGTGAAATTGTAAGGATTTCACTCCTAAAATTGATGGTTTAAACATGCAATCATGAGAATATGAGCTATGAATGATTTTAGTGCAGTTCTTCGTGTGCACCGAGCGCAGCCAAAGGAATGACTTTGCGTAGTTGACGTCAGGAATACCTCACTAGTCGAGTGCGGCCCACTAGCGGTGGGCAGGGAGCTGCTAAGGAGGATATGAGGAGCAATCGTGGAAGAGTACTCAGTCCGACCTTGTCTGGCTCACGGTCCCGCGCCTTGTTGTGCGTAAACGCCGCTAAAATAGTTGGCGGCGTTCAAAGCCCCTTCAGGCGCGTACAACTTTGGACTTGATTCATGTTTTTATTTGCAACACATCCACGTCTGGGTGATGTGCACAGGAATAGATCAACACTACTCCAAACCTCTTCCGCATATTGGATTACTGTGCAAAGAGAAGGTCGCCAATGTCCCTCCAAGGATTCTGGAAATGAGGACTGCTGCTGACACGGATTCGGTATTTTTCGACTTTTGAAACGTTTGTCTGCGCAGTTTTAATCAAGGGCTTTTCTTCAACTCACGAAGCATTTTCTCCCTGCGCGGGACTGCTCGTTGAATTGCTTATATTTGAATATAATCGAGTTTTGGATGAACCCTGTGCTGTGCGTTTTGCAGTGCGCACATTCGATCATAATGCATGTTATTTAGGACAGAATCTGTCTATATAAAGTGCCAAATTCAGCCGAAATGGCCAACGAGTGTAATCGCAACATTGTGGAAAAGTACATCTGCCATAAACTCTCCAAACAGGGCTACGTGTGGGGATTTGACGATGTCCGGGATGAAGATGCTGCTAATAATGGGTCAATAGCTGCCCCTCCACCGACTTTGGTCCGCCGGTGCCGTGAAGACAGTACCGGGCCTGACAGCGAGAGCATCGCCCACCTCTGCAAACGGCTCCCCCAGTCCGACCCGCACGCCGCCATCCACAGAGTCCTGCGCGAGGCTGGAGATGAACTTGAAAGACTATACCAGCCGGACTTCACGGAGATGTCGCGGCAGCTGTATCTCACCTCCACCACGGCGCAGAGAAGGTTTGCTGAGGTGATAGACGAACTGTTCCGGGACGGAGTGAACTGGGGCCGGATTATCGCTTTCTTCGAGTTCGGGGGCACGGTGTGCGTGGAGTGCGTGGCGAAGGAGGGGATGACCCCACAGGTGGACAACATCGCGGAGTGGATGACAGAGTACTTAAACGGACCTCTGAACAGCTGGATACAAGATAACGGGGGATGGGTAGGTCTGATTCCGTGTAGTTGAGCGCTTTGCAGTTGTGTGCCACGGGGGCGCACAAGTCCTCCTTTGCTCTGATTGAAGAGGTTTTAATCAATAAATTCAGTCAGAGTTCAAATGTTTAACTGAGATCAAAAAGTGCATTCCGATGTGACTTAATATCGAAACCACAGCTGTGGCTGATCATTAATAAGAATTCAATTTCTCACTGCCCATTACGCACGGCAGCAAGAACGTTCCTGATGGGCGGCCTCACTTATGAGCAGCTCTTATTGGCTGTTCATGGTGGCTGTCAAGCTTACTTGACCAATAAGACAGCGTGCTCTGTCACACCTCCCTACGCTCTAGCCCGCCTTGTCAACTGGAGAGCCAGTGGCCGCCATGCTGCTGTCATGGCGAGGAGGGGGCAGGCCAGTAGGCCTATAATCCGGGGAGAATTAAAGCTTCATTAAATCTTAAGCACCACACTAAGAAGAATTGAATGTCAAATTTCAACATTTACCTGTACCTCAAGCTTTATGTAAATTGCTGGAGTACTGCGGCGATGTGATGCATTTGGTCTTGGTTGTAGCAGGAGGGAGGAGGTCAGACACATGTCAGCAAACAGAAAACTATTGAATTAATGTGTTTGGGCCTCTGGGCATGGCACAACAGGTCTGTGCTATGGGGCCCTTTTTCTGCACATCTACATGACACATAAACTTCAGGTACTAATGTGGAGAGACATCTACAATCTGCCTTTACCTGTGTATACACATATATTCATTCACAGAAAAAGAGAGTTGAATTTGAAAAAAAGTGCAATATTATATCCATTTTTGCAACTATTCTCCTTATCCAATGAAGAGCATAGTAGTCGCCTCTTTTGTGCTCCTCAACAACTATTAAACCAATCTGCCTTGAATTAGCCTCTAATTAGCAGGGGTGCTCTTAATAAGAACATAACATTTGTGCTGCTGGGTTATTTTAGCCAGAAGGTATCAGAAATTGTGGGTGGGTGGGTTGGGGGTTCATCAATGATTCATATTGAACATTTCATCTCAAAGGGAGGGACCATTTAACATTCCCCTTGAGTTTGCCTTGCCCCCGGAGGTGGCAGGTTGTGCCACATATCAAAGGCAGGCAACAGAGGGAGGGCCCTGCAGGAACACAGAACGCTAATCTGCAGCCACTGTGTTTAACATACAGTTCTCTGTGCATCTAGGTTGGAACTCTTTTGTCTGCTTTTTGGGCTGCCGAGATGCTTGCTCGAGGTCTCTGGAGCCTGTGCCCACCACACAATAATGTAGGTCATCATAGTCTGTGTTTTCCAGCTGGGCGGAGATGACTGTATCTCTGCTACTCTGCGTCCACTTTAGAGAGAGAGTACAGTCTTTTAATCCAGAGGATTATTCGAGATTATTTGAAAGCGTATGTTTCCACTTTGGGTCGTTTTGGAGGATTTCTGCTCGCAGTACTGAAACCATATCCAAATTTATGTAGGCTCAAACTAGGCGCTTAAACAATTTGACGCAAAATATATTCGTGTTGGCTCATGTGGGATAATACGTTGAATGTTTTGAGCTTCAGCATAGACAGATAGGAGTATAACAGACACTGGTGATTTATATAATGATTTGAATGCTGTTCAGGTGGGGAATTTCCTGAGGGGTGTGTGTGTGTGTGTGTGTGTGTGTGTGTGTGTGTGTGTGTGTGTGTGTGTGTGTTTCAGTTATTACCTGACATTTAATAACTGACACTGCAGATACAGAGCTTTGTCTGTGCTCTAGATGGGGTTTGCAAAATTCAGCTTCTCCTTTTTATTGACTTGTTGGCTAGTGAAATATAGAAATGTCACTGTATCATTCAGCATGTGCCAAAAAGGTTGTTTGCAGTTGCTCTCGCATCTAAAGGTTTCTTTGGTGTATATAGCAACTGAAGGTTGTTGATTTTGTTCTGATTTCTGCCTGAAATATCCATCCAGGCCGCAAGTTGCTGAGATTTCTTATCAGACATCTCCCCCTGAGTGGGTCTCACGGCTGTTGCCAGGATTTTAGAGATTCTGAGGTTGTGAGTCCCCTCACTCCCAAACAAATCTGAGCAGATGCATCAAAAAACAAACATCAGAATCAGTTTTATTGCCAGGTATGTGTACACATATGAGGGAATTTGACTCAGGATTGTACATTGCTCACGATGTGCTTACTTATACAATAATACCATAACACAATAATAAAATAATAATAAAATAAAATCAGACACAAACTACAGAGTAGACAACACTAATATACACACTATGAACAAAACAATTTAGACATATTGACAAATAGTGCAGTGATCAGAGTGCAAAGGATGCAAGAGTAAACTATTCTCATTATGTACATGTTGAAGGTGGATATGATATACATGCTTTAATCATTCAGATGTTTTTCATTTTATTTATTATTCTCTTAAATTATCTACATTTGATTCACTAAATGCAGTTTCAAAGCCTTCTCTATATTGCCAGGAATCAAATTCTCCTCTGGAAATAGCATCATTCATAGAGAACACCCCCTGTTGCTAAAACATATTCCCAGAAAACCTAAGGCCTCGACCACAGTGTCTTGGTAGTGACGGCACCAAAAATGGTTGCCACTGTTTGGATATAATCTGGCAACCAATCTGTTTTAGTGTGAAAGATTTGATTAGATTGTGGTCCAAATGTGCTATATTTTGATCTCGAATCTACTCATCTTGGACTTTCTGGAGGGTTTTGATCCATTTTGGGGCCACACATTTTCAAGGTTACATATGGGTCATATATATTTTGTTCATTTCATCCACCATCTGCCAGGTGGATCTTAGAGGAATCTGGATAAAACACATTTTATGTTTCTATCACAATGGCTCTGTGAAGGCAAGGACTATAATGATACATTATTTTTCTTAATTGAGTTTACACAGCTTTGACCTTACTATGAAGACATTGAATAAAAATAGTTATAATGTGGTTAGACAGCTTTTGTTTATGGTCACTTACACTCTCCATTGTGTTATTGTGAGCAAGAGGTGAGTCTTGTGTTTTCCACCACCATTACAAACAAAGGTGGGGGCTAATCAACCTATTACTGACATTTTGACATGTGAGAGTGGTGTGGAAACAGTTTTCTATCGGCCACCCTGTTTCCTGTTGTTTTTGAGACCATTTGAGCCCAAAATAGGAGTGCCCACTAATCGTTGTTGAGTCTAGGCATCACCGGTGAGTCAAATATTCTTTTAGTTCAACAAAACTATCTGCCCTTCAGAAATAACAAAGCAGTTACTGTATTTTTCAAAACCCAGCTGGATTCAAAATAGCTCCCTTCTGCACTGATTACTTCCCACACTCCGAGATGTAAAACACTGTCCTTTCATTGTCCTTAACGCTCAGTTTTTTCCACCTGTATAAATTCATCCTTTTGTGGTGGCAGAAATTGCTCTCATCAGGGGACGATTGTATTTAGGCTGCAACCTCACACACGGTGCACCTGTGTTTATTTACAGGCACTCACAGTAAATACCTAGTGATTGAACAAAGTGGCAGACGGCGTCCGACTTCTGAAATTACATGCTTGACCTCAGACGTTTGACTGGCTGCGGAGGCATCATGGAGCACAGTGGTTTCACAATTTTGGAAGGCTAAGTGAGAACAGCTAAAGATATAATGTTGAGAAATGAATTTCTTTGGTCCAAACTGAAAACTGTCAACACCTATTGAATGAATTGCTATGAAATTTTGTACAGACATTCATTGTCCCCAGAGGATTAATCCTACTGAATTTGGTAATCCCCTTAACCTGTAGTACCACCATGAGATTGGTCTGGTCTCAAGTCTTTCATTTGGCACCATTATTAGGTCAACATTTAAAATTTTCCAATATTTTGGTTTATGATCAAATAACTAAAACTAATGATATTCCCATTAGTCTCAGCTACTGCAAATGTTGGCATGATTACATGTTACACTAAGACGACAAACGTGATTAACTTACCTGCTAAACAGCAGCATGTTAGCATTGCCATTGTGATCATGTTAGCATGCTAACGTTGGCATTTAGTTCTGTACAGCTTTACAGAGCCACTGTCTTATTTTGATGTGGTGGACAAGAAGAAGGAGTTAAAACACCTGACCTTTCTGCAGTCTCAAACAACAGGATTGAGTGTCTGAGGAATGCTGCTAGCCAGGTGGCCTGTTTCTGTGTGTTACAGGTGCGTGTCTTTGAGGAGAAGACAATGTAAATTGGCTTGGGTTGGGTCTGTCCTGTGGGGGATTCCCTGAGCACAATCTGCTCGCCAACGGGTGGGATCTGCATGTTGCTACGGTGTGGCGGGCATCTGGCTGCGTCCCTCTCTTCCGTTGTTGAGGCTGAATGGATCTGGGACAGCAAGGAAGTCATTAATCTCCATATAGGTGACATGTCGGCAGAGCAGAGGAGGAAAAAAATCCCTAACAAACTCACTCACAAAGGAGGCACATGCAGCCACTCATGGGAAAGCAAAAAACAAACAAAAGAAAAATCCGGTGAGATCTCACTTACATCCAATTTCAAGTCAAGTCAATACTGGGGCAATGTTCTGGAAGTGTTCTTGGGTATTTTTCACATGGCTTTCAACTGTTCTCCTAACAAAAAACAGGCTGTATTGACAGTGAAAGGAAAGCTACGTTTGAGGAGACAGGCTTTTACAGTGTAATGAGCTCTAAAAGTTGTGATTGATCCATCCGTTCTGAGCCAGAAATGTTCTCTGTTCACAACACATGCTGTCACAGTCAGTTGTTTCCTTTTCATTTGCTAATTAGTAGTTGTTTATCAGTCTGGCCGCACAAAATTAGAGTGTGTTTTTTTTTTCTACAATCAGAGGAATAAACAATTACTCATGCAAATAGCATTTAGGGGTTTTCCCCTCCCACCAGTCATTTCAAAACAGAGAAATAACTACAAAATTTCACTGCTGGAGAAGTGAAAAAATGTCTGTAACTAAGGCTGAGTTTTGGAGATTTTGAC